AATTTAAAGCTGCTGGATGGGGCCCTCGGTGTCAGTTGATTAAGCTTCTGACTTTGGCTCAGGTCATGATCTCATGGCTCGTGGGCTCAAGCTCCGTGTCAGGCTCTGTTCTGACAGCTCCGAGCCTGGAGGCTGTTTTGGATTGTGTCTCCCGTCTTTCTCTGCCCCTCCCCTACTTGTGCTCTCTCTCAAAAATAAATGAATATTTAAAAATTTTTAAAGTAAATAAAGCTCCTGGGATAAAGGCCTGTTGGTGATCAAAGCCAGATGTCATGGGGACTCCTCTTGCCCCTTGTGGGTCCCCAGTGCCAGGGGTGCCTGGTATGGGATCCTCTTGCTTCTCCATGCTGGTGACGCCTCTCCTGTTTGTGGCCTGTCACGCCGGGAGTCTGGTTCCCAACCATGTCTCCAGCCCCCTGTGCTTGTGTATGATCAGCTGTGGAAGGGCTGTTCTGTTGGTCTTCAGGTCATTTTCAGAATTGTCCTATAGATGTAGTCCTCCTCCTCTGCCACCTTCCCAAAGCTCTCAGGAAAAGTGGATTTTTTGGTCCAGATGTTTCACACTTAATGTATAGAAATGCAGCTGATTTGGTTATGTTAGTTTTGTAACCTGCAACTTTATTGAAATCATTGATTAGCTCCAATAGTTTTGTGGCTGAGCCTTGGGATTTTTAATATACAGAATCACCTCGTCTAAAAATAGTGACAGTTTGGGGCGCCTTGGTGGCTCAGTCAGTTAAGCCACCAACTTCAGCCTAGGTCACAATCTCGCCGTTCCCAAGTTTGCGCCTGTGCTGACATCCCAGAGCCTGGAGCCTGCTTCGGATTCTGTGTCTCCCTGTTGCCCCTCCTCCACTCACATTCTCTCTCTCCGCTTCAAAAATAAACAATAAAAAATTGCTTAAAAAATCAAAACTTCTCAGTTTGGATGGATTTTAGTTCTCTTTCTTGCCTAATTGTCAGGACTTCAGTACTGTTTTGGATAAGAGTGTTGAGAGTGGATGTTCTAGTCTTGTTCCTTATCTGAGAGGAAAAGCTTTCGTTATTTTTTTCTCCATTGAGTATGTTATCTGTGGGTTTGATGTATATGGGCCTGTGTTCCTCCTGCACCCCATCTACTGAGGGTTTTTATTATGGAAGCATGTTGTATTTTGTCACATGGTTTTTCTGCATCTGTTAAGATGATCACATAATTTTTTATCTTTCATTGTTTTAATATGATACGACCTTTAGCGATTGGCATGTATTGCATCCCAGAGGTAAATCCCACTTGGTCGTGGTGTGCAACTCTTTTTATGTGTCCTTGAATTCAGTTTCCTAATATTTTGTTGAGGATGTTTGCATTTATATTCATCAGGGATACTGATCTACAGTTGCCTCGTGGTGTCCTGATCTCACTTTGGTATCTGGCCTTGTTGAATGAGTCTGGAAGGATCTCTACCTCCACAGTGTTCGCAAGAGTTTGAGAAAGATTGCTGTTCTTCTTTGAAGGTTTGATAGAATTTGTCTGTGAAGCCATCTGGTCCTGGGGTTTTCTGTGGTGTGAAGTTTTGGTAACTGATTCAGTCTCTGTCCATTATTCATATTTTCAGATACTCTATTTCTTCCTAACCCAGGCTTGGTGGATTGTGTGTTTCTGGGAATTTATCCATTTCTTCTAGGTTGATTGACACAACAGTTGTTCATTGTAGTCTCTTCTGGTCCTGTGTGTAGTATCAGATGTAATGTGTCCTATTTCATTTATTTGAAATTTTTTTTTTCTTATTCTGGCTAAAGTTCTGTCAATCTTGTTTATCTTTTCAAAGAACCAGCTTTTAATTTTGTTGATCCTTTCTGGGTTTGTTTTGTTTTTGGTCTGTTTCATTTATTTACACTCTGATCTTAATGATTTCCTTCGTTCTGATAACTTTGAGCTTGTTTTTCTAGTTCTTTGGGGGGGGGAGAGTTTGTGATTTTTCTGATTCCTTAATATACACATTTGTTGCTGTAAACTTTCCTCTCTCAACTGCTTTGATGTGCTGTATTTCCATTTTCACTTGTTCCAAGGTAATTTGTATTTCCCTTTTGATTTCTCCTTTGGCCCGTGGGTTGTTCAGAGCATGTTGTTTAGTTTCACATATTTGTAAATCTTCCAGTCTCCCTTTTGTTGTTGATTACAAGTTTAATACCGTATTAGTCAGAAAAGATAGCTGATGTGGTTTTAGTCTTCTTAAATTTGCTGAGACTTGTTTTGTGTCCTATTACGTGATCTATCCTGGAAAACATTCCAGTGCGCTCAAAAAGAATATGTATTCTGCGCCCGTTTGATAGAATGTTCTGTATACATCTGTTAAAACCTTTTTTGTTCTAGAGTATAATTCTCTTCTTTCCTTGTTGATTTTCTGTCTGGATGATTTAGTCATTGCTGACAGTGGGATATCAAAGTCCTCTAGTATTTGTTGTCTGTTTCTCCCTTTACATCTTAGTATTTGCTTAGTAAATTTGGGTGGTCCAGTGTTGGGTGTGTATATAGTTACTATTGTTAGATCTTCCCGATGTTATTAACCCTTTTATCATTGTATAATGGCCTTCTGTGTCTCTTTTTATTATTTGTAGGCTTTAGATCTGTTTTGTCCGATCTAAGTATAGCTAGCTATTCCTGCTTTCATATGGTTTCCATTTGCATGGAATACCCTCTTCCATCCTTTCACTTCAGGCCTATGTGTGTCTTTCAAGTTGAAATGTGCTTCCTATAGGCAGCACATGGTTGGGTCTTGTTTTGTTCTTGTCAAGCTACTGTGCCTTTTGACTGATGGATTCAGTCCATTTATATTGAGTGATTATTAATCTTAAGGCCTTATTGCTGCCGTCTTCTGTTTAGCCTTCTGGTTGTTTTGTAGCTCTTGTTCGTTTTTCCCGGCGTTTCTTTTTACCTTCATAACATGGTGGTTTCCCATGGTGATTTGTTCAGTTTCCCTTTGTTTTTGTTTTGTGTAGTTTTTTTTATTGCTCTTTTTTCTTAAGCCTTTGTAATGAAATGGTTAACATACCATCCTAATAAGTCTTCCAATTCAGTTTTTCACCTTTGACTGGAGTATAGTGCAGTTTCATTTGCTTTTATGCCGCTAATTAACGTCTTTCTATTTCAGCTTGGAGAACTCTTTCTAGCATTTCTTGGAAGGCAGGTCTAATGGTGCTAAACTCCCTTAGTTCTTGTCAGGGAAAGCCTTTATTTCTCCTTCATATTCGAAGCCTATCTTTGCCAGATAAAGTGTTCGGGGCAAGCAGTTTTTATTTTTCAGCCCTTTGATAGGCTAGTGGAGGTTCCTTTGAGGGTTACTTTCTTTTTTTCCCTGGCTGCCTTTAAGGCTCTTTAACAGATTCATCATAAGGTCTTGGAGAGCATCGTATTGCACTGAGATAATAGAGTGTTAGCTTCTTGGACTTGTCCAGTTCCTTCCCCAGATTTGGGAAGTTCTGTTACTATTTCTCTAAATCTCACTGGTCCCTTTTCCTTTTCTAGTCCTCCTGGTGGACCAGTTATTCTTACATTTGTTTTTCTCATATATGATCGTTCTTGTAGGGTTTCTTCATCTTTAAAAATCTTCGTTCTCCTGAGTCATCCCTAAATTCCTGTCTTTCAGACCAGTTATTCTTTCTTCCATCTGACTTGCAGTTTCCTAAACTCTCTAATGCATCTCTTCATCTTATTCATTGAATTTGTCAGCTCTAGAATTTGTGTGGGACTTTTTAAAACTTTCAAACTCCTTTGTAAAAAAAACGCCTTCTGTTTAATAAACTTCTAAATTGAATCACATTTGCCTTTTCTTGTAAGCTCATCAAATCTCTTTTAACAGCTATTCTGAATTATTTATCAGTTAAATCACATCATTTTTGCACCTTTGTGTTGCTGGAGAATTTTGTGTATGAGATCCTAGTATTGCATTTGAAATAGCACACACTTTTCTTTGTTGTTTATTTGGTTACAGATTGGCAATTACAGACCTTTCTTTTGTTTCCCAGAAGGTGGTGCAATAGCCCAAGTTTCTGGTTTCTTCTTACCTGAGCTGGTTCTGGGGCTGCACTGAGGAGTGCGTTGTAATAAAAAAGGCAACATGAAGTCGCTATGCAATGGGGTGGGGGAAGTATAGGCTTAGTGCTGGTTTTTGTGATTGCCTGCAGACCGGCAGGAGATCCTGGACTGAGGGTACTCCCAGAGGTCCATGTGTGGACCTCCTGCTGAAATCCCAAAGCAGACAGCAAGGAATGTTCCTTCAGTGTCCTTTGAGATTCTTGTCAGTTCTCTTTTCCCTCTCCCCAGTCAGGGAGTTCCTTCCTCAAAGTTGTGCTGCTAGAGAGAAATGGATCCTTGGGCAGGAGAAATACCCCCCTTTGAAGCTGTTCCTTTGTGTGCTTTAAAACAGGTAGCCCCAGGGTGCCTGGGTGGGTCAGGCAGCTAAGGGTCTGACTGGTGATTTTAGCTCAGGTCATGGTCTCATGGTTAGTAGGATCGAGCCCCATGTCTGGCTCTGCACTTACAACTTGGAGCCTGTTTGGAATTCTCCCCCTACCCTGTTCATGCGGTCTCTCTCAGAATGGATAAACGTTTTTGGGGGGGAGAAAAAAAAGGTAGCCCCTATGTGAGAAATCTCTAGTGCTTGCTTGTAAATCCTCCCACAGATGAGCAATGCAAGACATGATGCTAGGTGCTGGGAGTAGGTGTTAAATGACTATCCCACAACTTTGTGATTCTGTTTCTTAGCGTTTTTTATTTTAATTCTTTTGGCATATCTAAATGTCAGAAAGTGGATGTATACATACAGACTTCAAAACAACTTCCTAAAATGGTTTTAGTATTGGGACAGTCACTGACATCTTTATTTTATATGTCTAAAGTGCATTCTTGCAGCTAAGCTATAGCAGCATTTGTTTATAAGGAAGTATTCAGACAAGAGCTGGAAAAGTGGCAATAAAAAATGTGATCTGAATATATTTTTCCTTAATCACTCAGGACAAAACACTTGTGTGAATTAGTTTATAAGTATACAAGAAATATACAAAATAATAGCATTATAAAAAAGTTCATATGGCAAGGCATATCATACAAAAAGTGTGCTGAATCCTAGACATCTTTGGAACCTTAGGGGTAATCTCTGCTCCGCACTGGTGTGTGATGTCACTGAGGTCTAGGGGAGCCCCTGCAGCTCCCCAGGCTGACTCCGAAGACTCCTGGCTCTGCTTTGGAGGAATCCCCAATACAAACGAAAATGTTCTTTTGTTACGAAGACTGGCAGGTCAGGGTTTCTTGCGCCTGAAATGTGAAAACCAGCATTTAGTATTGACTTTTGCAATCAGATCTCCTAGGAAGACTTTACAAGAACGCTTTTATCATGGGACAGTTCAAATCCTCAGAAAGCAAGTAACAGTTATAAAATACGAGTTCCCCAAAGTTGTTTAAAAATTATCCTACTGCAGTGATTTTCCAACTTGCCTAAGGAATACCTGTGTTAAAAAAGGACACACAGACGCGTATAGGCATACATATGAAAAGAAAGGTCTTTACTAATATGGAGAAAGATGGGGCCAGATTCTTGGGTATGCGTTTAAACAGAAGGAAAAGTGTGGTTCCTTCTCCTACCATAAATTCGGCCGCTCCATTTTATTTTACTCGACACTTTACCACCGTAGCGAGACCAGGAGGCATGTTGAGAAAGATTACTGTCATCCCTGACTCAAGCCTCCCTCCTTACAGGTGATCTCCGTTCAGCTTCTGAGAGCTCTGTGAGCATTAGCAGAGTACGAAGCAGAGCGAGCAGTCTTCTGTCACCTCCTGTCACTGCTCTTGCCGAGCCTTCTGAGGTTCTCAGCACTGCTGCCGTCTGCCAGAGCGCCCAGGCAGCCCACACGGTAAACAACCCACAGATGTCCTCTTCAAGTGGATGTTAGGGAGAAGGGAGGACACACAGAGGCCCAGGTAGTGAGGACTCACTTGGGTTGTGCATGGTGCTGATAGCCGGGTCCCAGCTGAGATCCTGCTCGCATCTCCACAGCCACAGAACACTGGTGGGAAAATGACAGAAGAGGCAGAGATCAGCTCCTCTCCGCAGTCTGTACAACAGTTCTGCTCAGAGGGGCTCAGCCAAGGCGACATCCCGCCTTGCTTCCCAGTGCCGCACAGGCCACTATGGTCAAGTACCAGGTACTTGCAGTTTATTTGGCTTAAGCCACAAAGATGGGGAGCTGGACGTGTCTGTAGACCTCATCTGGGTGACTTCCTCGGTTTAGATAAGGAGGAAGAGTCCTTAGAAGACGTTAGTGGCCAGAGCTCGGCCTTCTGACCCCACCTGCCCTTCTCCTCAGGAGTAGCAAGTCCACCGGGAAGCTGTGCTGGTGTGGAGATTCCCAGCGGCCGCCTGTGAATTCCTGGTGCTCTGCGGCGATGCGCTCAGACCTGCCTCTCCAGCCCCGTCCCTCTACACTGAACCAGAGAGCGCCAGAAAGAGCTGCGTCGAACAACCGTGAGTCCCTTGGCAGCTTCGCTAGGAACCGGCCTACAGGCCGCACTGGCGACGTGAGGATCAGGCCTCAGCCGCTTCCGAGAGCAGGAAAAGCAATAACCAGGGGTTAACATAGGTTACCCTTATTTTTAGTAAGCAAATATTGAACTTTTACCCCTACCCTTGTTTCTACATCGGTCCATTCAGACTCTGCACCATCTGGTTGAGCAGGTGCCGCTGTGGAAGATCTTCGTTTTCGACTACAGAAAAGGGGAAACACACACACACAGAGCAATTATTTTGTGTCTAGAACAGAAACATTGTTAGAAACGGGGAAATAACCACTCCACTCCTTCAGGTAACGAAGGAGCCGGTTCATAAGTTACCGTGTTCTGCAAGAAGCAGCAAACTAAGAACACGACAGCCCTTGACGATCACTCACCCAGTTGGCGATTCCTGTTTTAAAGTCTCAATATCGGTAAACTGCACAGATTGTCCACCACCTCTTGTTTTGTAAACATCACCCTGAGGTCAAGAGAAAAGGTCACCATTACACTTTGATATCCCAAGTGCCAAACACACATTTCAAACTGAACTTAAGACTCTCCATAAACCAGCAAAGTCCCATCCGCAGAACCAGATGGTGCCTCGGACTGCTGGGTCTGTACTACTAAAAATACTTCAGAAATTCCCTCTCACTGAACAAAAGTACAGTATAATCCATAATATTCTTAAATGGCAAAACACAATATTCCTTTTGGTCTATAGAAACTACACCAAGGATCAAGAAATCTACCAGAAATTTCTAAATGTTCAAAGGCATTGTTCTTTCCTCTGGGTATACCCCACCCCTCACATTCAGGTGACACACAGGACAGTCGTGTTTGTAACTCTGGTTATACTAAGAACCATCATCTAAATTAAATTTGATATGAAAACCTTTTTTTCCCAGTTGCCTTTTATTTCCCCAATTACTCATTGACTCTGCAATCAAAGAACATTTTTCTACAGAAGGGAAAGGGCTCTGGGTAGCACAGTAGTGAGAAATTTTGATAGGTCACATTTTCATGTAGGCTTTTTAATCTAGAATTGACAAATGGTACGAGTTCGTTCAGTTTACTTTGAACGTAGCAGTTACGACGCGATAATTACAGCACAATCAGATCCTCCCACGGAGGACCCTGAGACTCTAAGCCTCATTCAGTAGAGGGCAGCTGATTGAATCCTAGTTCAGCAGAGTCATAGCCCGAGCAGTTAGTTTTCTAACAACAAAAACGTATCAAAACCCATTTGTCTCTGTTGACACTGCCTGTGGATCAGCAAAGGAATAGAAGAGTTAGTGGTTTTTTGTGAAGTTGACTTTTTGTATGTTTTTCATCCTGTGTAAATTTGCTTTTACCTTGATTAGTTTAGTTTCAATCTCCCCATCGGAGGCTAGTTCCTGGTGGGTCAGCATGTACTTCTCACACTTAGCTAGTGCCTTTTCGTTTGCAACAGACACTGTGATGGCGTGAGGGACATGGGGCTGCATGACTGTCTCAGTTTGCACGTTAGAGGCAGGCTTATGATCTACCCATCTGTCTCCTGCAGAGCGTGACCGTCTGTGCCGGAGACGAAGTGGCGGTGCGTTCTGATCAGGTTGAAACAGGAATCAAGAAACAAGCATAACCCAGAATTAACTTAAGGCTATTATTAGAAGTGCAGCAGGTTTGGCTACGTTAATTGATGATTGCATCAAAACAAATGCACAAACATTTTCAAAAGCTAAATATGTTACTCAAATAATTTAAATGTTTTCTTGTATTTAAATGCAAAACCAACAAACATCTTTTAAAACCAGCTTGTATATTCTACATTCTGCCAGAGAGCTTCCCTTTCAACAAACAATGGAAGGGAAAACTCAGACAGCGCCACCAGGCTTTCCTGTGTAGGTGGAATTCAAGACCATTCCTTTCACATTCTTGAGCAAAACCACTGTTTGTGCCTGTCACTGTGAGGGTATCTGTTAGGTCCACAACTGGGTTAGAGGCTCCAAATAAACTCGGTAAAAGCCTTAAGCACATCGTAGGCCTCTAAACAAAAGAGAAAACACTCTTTATACAAAGACGGACAATAAATAAATTAAAGCTAATTGGACTATATGGACAAAATGCTAAAGAACATAAGGTATAATAAGAATTCTGTGTATAAAATGATCAAGAGAATGTAAACGAACTACCTCTGGGTACCTTCTGAGATTTAGAAATCTTAAATAGAACTTCATGAAAAGCTCAAATACAATGATGGCTAAAACATCCCAACTATTTTTTCTCAGACATTCATAAAGGTACTAAGAACCAAACTAAAAACAGAGTATCAAATCAATCCCTATCAATCACACAATAAAAAACTAGTTGCTTCCAGTCAACTAGATTTGGGGGAAGTTAAATTTAGCACAGTCTAAGAAAAAGTAGTCCACACACCGCACATAGTTCCAAAGACAACCCACCGCTTCAGACATCTCCTGTTTGTATAACGGAAACCAAATGAGACCGTCCGTTACAGGCCAAATCCTTCAAAGCTGGTCACCCATGAAGACCCCAGTTTTATAATACGCCCGTCTAGGCGCCTGCACAAACTCAGTCGGTTAAACTTCAGACTCTTAATTTTTGCTCAGGTCATGATGTCACAGTTCGTGAGATCGAGCCCCGTGTCGGGCTCTGCTGATAGCAGGGAGCCTGTTTGGGATATTCTCTCTCTCTTTCTCAAACACACACAAACAAACATTAAAGAAAATAAAATGTCAGTCTGGAGAACTGAAGCCTCTGCCCTCACAAGCACAAGCACCAGCACCAGCAGAAGCGTCGGTGAGGAGTCACACTGTGCCGTGCAGCCTGCCCAAGCCTCAGAGCACCTCGGACCCCTGCCACTTAACAGCAGTCCTGCTGGACTTTGAACAAGAAAGACTCCCTCACAATCTACCATTTAGCAAAAGCGATCGTTTTTCTGAACACATTGGGCAGTAAATCTATTCTGAAACAAGCTTCAGAAAGATGGTTGCTACAATCTACTGTCATTTATTAAACCAGAGGTATTTAAAGTTTCTTCCCGACTGAAGTGTAAATTCCATCTGCCTGACATAACCTTTGGCCAGTAAACCTAGATGTGTAGAACTAGCCTAAACTTTGCTGCACTTCTAAAAAGATTTGATTTCAAGTGAGAAGTTAAAGGCGCTCTAGTAAATCCTCTTAAACATCTCAGAGCCGAGTGAGATGGCACGTTAATGCTGTCCAGGCATAAGCAGGCCTTGAATTGTGTTCCGTCTATAAACTTTCATGAAAAATAAAGGAGATTTATTAGAGTTGATCAGAAAGACCAATCACCATAATTTGCTCCCTAAAAAGGTTTAAAGCAAAATCTGCAAAGAACTCAGACTTTAGAAACATCTGTGGTCTTGGTAAATACCTTGCAGTTCATCACTATTCCTTAATAATCAGGAGTGCAGGGGATAGAAATGAAGCTTACGTGTACCTAAATTATACAAGAAAAGCTAAAGCAAATACTATTAATTTGTTAAAAAATTCTAAAAGCTGTATCAAAATTTTACTAAATAGAAGTTCACAATATTGGTCCATTTATTCAGATTCAGAGTAAAACCTTTATCTTAATCCTTAAGAAAACTTAAACACGAATTACTTTTAAACACCCTTGACTGAGGCCGAGCCCTTGTAAATAGATAGTTCTTCAGATCAAAAGCAGTTTGCTGGACAACAGGCCTGGACTATTCAGGAACATTCAGTGGCGTGAAAATCAAACAAAAGATACATAATAACCATTTGCAGGGCATTCACTTTGTTAGGATCATGGACTAAAAACAGGATATTTATTCAATGAATGTGAACCTTTTTGGTTCGATAAAGACTGTGTTTCTACAGGACAACGTACTTTTTGGGGATGAAGCACCACAAAGTGTCGGACTGACTTTTAAAATTTCAAGGAAGAAAAAGGATTGTATATCTATAGCAATAATTGGTGAATCTAGGTAAGGGGAAAGGAGGACGCTGTACCATTCTTTCAACTTTTGAGTCTGAAATTTTTCAAAATAGAAGTATGAGAAAACAATTTTTTAAAAACTTCAAAAGTGGCAAAAAGCTTGAGGAAAGAAAACCCAAAGGAGAAGACAGATGGAAGCTGGTGCTCCCGGCTGTGGGGCTGCACAGGGGCTTGTGCAGACGAAGGCATGGACAGCCTGGGACGGCTGGACAGACCCGTGGGCCTCAGTGTGACCGCTGGCGCCAGGTGTGTTCCAGCCTTTTCGGATCGAAGGGCCAGGCCTCGACTTCAGGGCGATTTCTCCAAGTAAATAACAGAAGAACTAGACGTTGTTTATACTGGAGCTCACCCACCCTTCCGTTGAGCTTTCTGAATCCGGTCACCCCCAAAAATAAAACACGAGCCAACCCCCCCCCCAGCCCCCCCCAGGTGACGCTCTGCGGCTGCGGAGCTTAGAGGGAGCAGCGGCACTGACCCTGCAGCGGCGGTCCTCTTCTACTTCTACCTCCTCTCTGAACGCAGGGACCACCTCCCTGCCTTCCGTCCAGTACATCCCTCGCCTTCTGTCTGACACGACACAAGTTTTACTTTGTCCTGGCTCCTGCTGCCTACGCCTCGCGATAGAGGTGACACTGACAGGTGTGTTGTACGGAGGCATTTTCTGCTCCCATTCCGAGACACAGGAAGCTACAGAAATGTTGCTGCAAGAGTTAGAGCGCCTATGGAGCTGCGGTTGGCTCAGGAGCTGCTGGCCGTTGGCGATCTGAGCAATATAGTTACTAGAAAGCTAAAAAAATGGAAGAGAAGTTAATGAGCGAGACTGAAACACAGAGAGACAAGGCACTGCTTTTTTTATCATTTCAGCACGTGAAGACAACTGCAGACTTAGTTTTACGAAGAAAATTTTTATACGGAATTTGCACTAAATTGGTGTTTATGCTAGAGATTTTTTGCAGAGAAAGTTAATTTAGCAAAAACATTTATGCAGAGAAGTTTGCGAAGCACAGTAAGTAATATAAAACAAGTGCTCATCATAGAAGCCACCTGATCTGAACAGATCTCCGCTGCAGGCTGCCCCACCGCCACAGGTAACTTACAGGCACTGGCGACGGAGAAACCGCTCTTTGAGTCACTTTCTCCCGGTCCCGCTCCCGGGAGGGTCTCTCTGGCTTGTCTGCTTTGGGTTCGGTGACAATAGCCTTCAGCTGTTTCAGTTTTTCATCTTTGACCCAGAGTTTATTTTGCATCTCCAGCTGCTTGGCCGCCACCCGACGCTCCTAGGTTGGTGACAGTGACACACCGTGAATTCACTTACACCAAACAAGCACGTGTCACTTGGGGACGTTGTCTGCCCAGCATGACAGTCCTCCCGTTCCCCCTGAGCTCCCGGCGCCAGGTCCCTTGGCAGGAGTTGCCAGGGTGGGGAAAGGCCGGGGATGCACCAAGCAGTGGCAGCCGGGCCCCGCCGCCAGACAGCCCACCCCACGGACGCGAGCGCAGAACACTGTGGGTTGACACTCATCACCGAAGGAGCAACACTCACACATTCCTTCTCCCACTTCATTGTTGTTTCTGTCACCATGCCTTGCAGCCTGGCTTCCAGCCTGCGTTTGTCAGAAAACTGGCGCTGAAGTTTCTGGTTCTGAGCTTCGAGCTCCTGCTGCAGAGTGCGCTTGTCCTCCTCGTAGATGGTCGTCGTCTTCTCCAAGATCTCAATCTGGGGGAGCAGGCCGTTCCGGTTAGTGTCGGCACGGAACCGGCACGGTAGCTGAGAACTAAGCTCTGGGCATTTGCTTATGCGGGCGCCGTTGTAGGAAGAAAAATCAGGAAGGAGGCAGTCTCCTTTCAACTTCCATCTGAACTCCTACCTCCTGTCCCAGAAGTGGGGAGGGACTTTTAAACGAGTCTCTCACAGAAAAGATGTCGTGATGGACTTCGTGTGAAAGTAAGTTTCCCCTAAGAGTAAGACCGGAGCTTTCTGTTCTAGGCTGTTTTCAGGACAAGAGAACACTACTGGTTGAGATGGGCTTCTATAGAAGGAATGGCCACCCCCTAAATGACACTCGGTTGATGAGAGAGCACACACGTCTCACCAGAAGTCAAAAAAGCAAGCTGCGACCAGAACGGAACCCCACAGAGCCCTCTGGGAGACTCACTTGTTCGGTCTGAGAACATTCCCATCGATCGCTAAAGTCTAACTTGGAAAATTAGAGCATATCATCCCTTGAATGCTCTTCACTCCCATCTCCTGTCTTGAATATGAGCGAGAACACGCTGGCCGGAGCGCCTACAGCAGAGCAGCCGAGGCAGCACACACTCCCGAGATGATGCGGCACAAACCTTGTATTCCAGAGTTCTGTTTTTCTTCTCCAGTCGTTCTATTTCCAACTTCTGTCCTGAGATCACCTTTTCTTTTTCGTTTAGTTTTCCTTGAACGTAGTTTTCTTTGTTTAAAACAGCATTGTCAAATTCTTGCAACAGGGCTTTAAAAGTAATAGCTGAAACGAGAGCATGCAGGCCGAGTTGATCCAAGCCCAAGATGACCAGTGAAATCAACTTTTATCAGCCGGCACTTTGTTAAGTGTAGCTAGTCAGCAAGTCATGAGGGTCAGTCCATAATCAAAAAACAAATTTTTAAGGGAATCAAGAGTTTTTGAAGCGTCCAGCCCTTGATTTCAAGTCAGGTCATGATCCCAGAGTTGTGGGAATGAGTCCTGAGTCAGGTTGCATGCTGACCATGGAGCCTGCTTAAGATTCTCTCTCTCTCCCTTTCTCTCTACATTAAAAAAAAAAAAGAAGAAAGAAAATCTAGAAGAGAGACATTCCTAAAAGCTGTTTTCACTGGAAAACACTGGTCTTTCATTTTGCACTATGACGTTCCCTTGTCAGCCCTTACAGGTGAAGTGGTTTGCCTCAAAACAACTGCAAAAACAGAACTAACGGCGGATTTAGGATCAGTTAGAGCCAAATTGAAATCCCTGGCACACCACTTTTGTGTGACTTGGGCAAGTTACTTAATTTTTCTGAGCACATTTCCTCATTTCAAGATGAGGACATAAATACCACTCATCTCACACCCTTCTTATGAAGATTCAGACAAACCCATGATGATAAAAATTGCTGACCCATTTCTGAGCACTTAACTACATACCAGGCTGTTCACTGTTCTACATGGTGTTCACACATCATCTCATGCCCACGATGCCCTCCCAGGTGGGAACAGTTAAAATCCCCATTGTGTAGACAGGGAGACTGAGAAATAAGACGATGAAGTAATGTGCCCAGAAATAGTTCGTAAGATGTAATATACGTGGGGCGCCTGGGTAGCTCGGTTGGCTGAGCATCCAACTTGGGCTGTGGTCATGATCTCACGGTTTGTGAGTTCGAGCCCTGTGTTGAGCTCTGTGCTGCCAGCTCGGAGCCTGGAACCTGCTTCGGATCCCCCTGTCTCCCTGCCCCTCCCGTTTGTACTGTCTCTTTAAAAAAATTAATATTAAAAATATGTACATATATAAAAAAGATGTAATAATATATGTGAAGTGCCTGCCTTGCAAGTAACTAGTAAGAACAAAAAACAAAGTAGCTATTACTCCACTCCTTTGTGTCCACCGCTGTAAATTTTAAAAAAGGACAATATACACACCCACCTCTTTCTTTTGTTTTATGAGCTGTGGGAAGATTCCGTGTCAGTCTAATTAAACAATGCCTTGAGCACTAAGTGCAGAAATAACCCTTCCTTAAAGATCGACCCCACCAAAGAACTCCGATTCGCTGCCAATTTCTGGAGTCAAAATGACCGCAGACCTGCTTTCGGCCCTTACATTGTTTATGAAACTCCTCGACCATCATCTGCCGTAGTTGGTGTCGTTTCTCTAATGCTTCAATCAGCCTGGGAAGAGTCTGCTCATCGTTGACATCCAAAAGTTCACAGGATGGCAAAGGTGGAAAGCTCTGTAAAACTACTTCTGTAACCAGGGGTTCTGTGTTGAATTTTTAAAAAAAAATTACAAGAAGTTACACAGGAGAGAAAGAGCTTATTATTTAAACAATTTTTTAGACACCCCCCCCCACTTCAATTGACCGTGTACTTTGAGTTGTCACATTCATACTTCCTTTAAAATGAATGATAAGAAAGGTAAAGTGGGAGGAAAAAGTTACAGTAACAGAAGAAATCTCATTTATACTTTGGTTCAGAATTTTTCTTTTTTCAGTTGGCTCTTGGGAGGAAGGGAAGTAAAGAGTTCCCTCATGTGAAACAGATTCTGAGAGAGACAGACGAAAGTCAGTGTGCACACGATGCGGCCCGAATCATACCATCTCCGACTGGTCCTCCCCGAACCTGGTTTCGGAATCTCCTGCCAGGGGTTAGACCGCAGATGGCCTTGTCTACTGGTCTTGCCACTTCAACTTCTTGGGTCACTTCTGCAAATCTCATGACTTGCTAAGATGCAAGACAAAAATTTTTTAAATAAACAAGCATAGCCAAGCCTTTCTTCAGAAATTACTTAATGAAACAAATCATTGGTCATTAGTTCACTTCTGTAACTAATGGTTCTGTATCAGCTTCCAAAACATTTAAAACGTCATCCTTCACATCCAAATATGTTCTTTTCTCCGTACAAACCCTGAGACTTTACAAGATAAATACATTAAAATTACCAAACTTTCTTCGTAATCTTCAGCCTTTGGATTCACACACACGATCATGCGTACTTTACCTTCCCCATCAAAGTAGTTCTTGAACAGATGGGTTAACTTTGAATCTCGGTATGGAACCATCTGTAAGTAAATTCAGATCCAAATATATAAGGCGAAAAAGTACACACAAACAAAGCTACAGAAATGACGAAAGGCTACTGCTTACTTTGTTAGTTCCGTACATTTGGTTTTCTCTCAAGACTTCCATACATGTTCTTAGTGTCATTAGTGACTGGTTAATGTTACCTGGTAGAAAAATATAGACAGAAGACATCTTAAAACAGTAGAGTAGCTACAGTGTGGTCTGTTTGCTTGTGAAATCCCTACTTCATCAAAATATATGGAAGGGCGCCTGGTGGCTCAGTTGGCTGAGCGTCTGACTCTGGCTTAGGTCATAATCTCATAGTTCATGGGTTTGAGCCCATCATCATCTGGCTCTGTGCTGACAGCTCAGAGCCTGGAACCTCCTTCAGATTCTGTGTCTCTCTCTCTCTCTGCCCCTCCCCCGCTTGTGCTCCATCCTCCCCCCCACCCCCCAAATAAACATTGGGGCACCAAGGTGGCTCAGTTGTTGAATGTCCAACTTCGGCTCAGGTCACGATCTCGCAGTCTGAGTTCAAGCCTTGCATCAGCCTCTGCTGACAGCTCAGAGCCTGGAACGTGTTTCAGATTCTGTCTCCCTCTCTGCCCCTCCCCAGCTCATGTTCTCTCAAAAATAAACATTTTATTTAAAAAAAAAATAAACATTAAAAAACCAGAAAGACACTATGGAAATTACAAATAACAGGTTTTAGTGGCTCAGGTTAAAGAGTGTCCCCGCATGGCCGGCAGTGTGTCGGGGCCAGGGGGGAGGTGAGAGACCCTCCTTCAAGACTTCTAGCTTGCACCGTCCAGGGAATGCGACATTACACTTCATGGCCCACAAAGTTTCTTCCAAATCTTAAATTCTTTGAGAGAATGTATTAAATGCAGGTGTTTCCTAGCCTGGATTAACACACATTCCCTGCAGCCCGATGACCCCTTCCCGCCACAGTTGGCCTCATCAGCACGGAGGGTCTCCTGCCCCTGGAGGGGCTCCTGTTTCTAACAGTCATGGGTCTTGGGATCCAGCTAACTCTGCCCCTCACACGTCCCGACAGGGGTTCCCTGGGCAGCACTTCTGACCGCTGTGTTTGGACTTCTGCGCCAAGACAGGTCGGACAGATGACAGAAGCCTCCACAACACAGGAGATCCCTGCAGAGACCTCCCCCCCCCTCCCCAAATACGTAAGGACTTGTTCGTTTTAAAAGCCTCATTAAGGTCAGCTGACTCCCACCCTGCTCTCCTCCTTGGCCACCTCTCTGCACATAGAGCTCGTCGGTGCCTCCGTAGTGTCCCGTGGTTCATGATTCCTCGTCCTTGACCCCAACTCCCAGTGTCCTTCCTGCTTCCACTGTGTTCTCTGGAACCCAAACTCCTGTTAATAAGACTCCCCACCCCCTCACGCCTCTCACAGAGGGCACCATCCCTCTCCCTAACTGCCGGGGACTCTGACCCCGAGGTCCATGCTGCCCATGGGTACATCTAGGGGAGTCTGCACACTTGGGTGGGAAATAAATCACACCTTTATTTTTTTTGCTAGCAGTTCCTTTCAATTACGAGCACAGGCCAAAAAGTCCCGTTAACTCTGGTGGTCCTTTCTGGTCTTTTCCCCAAAGCATCAGAACTCTCAAGTTCCTACTTTTCTTTCATCGAGATAAACCTCTTTCCCCATCAGGATTAATCCTTTGTTGTGTGAGCAGGAGTTCAGGTGCTGTATCTTCCACACACACACGCATAATGTGGGCGGTCTCTGTGCTCTCACCTGCCTGCCACCTTCTGCCTCCTTCCAGGCTTCACATCAGTCACCTCAGGTGTTTGTTCTGCAAGGCTCTGCCTTCAGCCTCTTCCCTTCTGTCCTCCAAGAATCATCTCATCTCCCCTACTGCCTCCACCGTAGTGGCGAAGCCTAAACCTATAAACCCCCGGCCAACTCTCTCCCCTTCCAAAGGTATGCACCTCTACACGCAGTTACGAGGCACTTCACTGGAGTAAGCTACACGCGTCCAACGCAAACCCTAACCCCCACACCAGCACTTGAGACTGCTTTCTCCCCAGTCGAGATCTTGGCTCTGCCCTCCCCTCTCCCTTCCTGAACACATCCAGTGGACTTCCTAACCAGCTCTCACTTTTGTCTGACCCTTGCCTACAGGTTACATGATAGCTCATCTGAATTAGGCAAAAGGCTCTCCCAATTGCTTTTATCTCTCTTTCTAAAAGACTAACTCTTTATTGACTTAAGGAAGCTGTGTAACAGCAAAAAGACACAAGCTTTGAGAATTCAGCCAACCTGGGTTTAAAGCCAGGCTCCAGTCTTGGGAAAATTACTTAATCTCTCCCAGCCCATTTCCTCATCTGAAAAATGGGTATCATACAGTCCTGAAAGGTCAGAATCAAGACATCAAGCCCGTGCATAGTAGATACTGTGATGCACACGCCAGTCCTTTAATAACAGGTCACCACCATTATCCATCAGGACAAAATTCAGACTTTCTAGGATGACAGACAAGGGTCCTTGTGACTTTGCCTCACTCTGCCACCCCAGTTGTCGTGGGCCATCAACCCACACCCTCCATTTCAGTGACTTTGACTCTGCCATTTCCTCCCTAACCTTCCCCTCACACACACCCCCAGACTGACTGAGTGTTCAGATATCGGCACACAGTAGGTACTCCATAAATGCTATTATGTGTAAAGTATAACATGAATAGTTACACTAAAGACTAAACAATCAAACAAAACACTGATTTTCTTTCAATTTGCTTCTGTGTTCAGTGGTTTTTTTCCATCTCCAGAAGCCAGTTTGCACCAGAATGAATGTTAAAATAACTGTTAAATCACTTAACTTTGAGGGCCTACTACTTCTATTACTGTTAATAGATACTTGTTTTATATTTATTTTAATCACTTACCTTCATTCATTTTTCTTAAATTTATGTATTTACCTTTTGAGGAAGAGAGAGAGAGGGAGAGGGAGAGAGAGAGAGAGAAAGAGACAGTGCCAGGTGGGGAGGGGCGGAGAGAGAGGCAGAGAAACCCAAGCAGGCTCCACATGCTCAGCACAGAAAGCGAACCATGAGATCACGACCTGAGCCAAGATCAAGAATCGGATGCTGAACCCACTGAGCCACCCCGGCGCCCCACTTATTCATTCTTAGAACAAGTCAGAATATTATAATATATTGATACCAAACCAGCATAACTAAAGAAACAGCACTGTCCCCTAAATTTGGCCTCTAAATGATCAAATCAAAGACAACTGTGTGTAAACCACCTATCAATAAGCAGATGATAGACTGACACTGCAAGTTCTGGAAAGTGGTAGCAATAACATGAGTAGTGTGCTCTGCTCACCAGCTTCGCGTAATCTGTTCCCTTCTGCTTTTGTCCGATTCGTTCTCTCACTTCCAGCAAGATCTACCAGGGACAGCTGGCTTATCGTGATTTGTTCCTTTTCCTGAAGAGAAGATACAATGCCAGTTAGTATGAGGTATAACTGTTTACGGTGTTCTTTAAATATATTCGAGCCAACAGATTATGAAGTCTTACATCATTTGCGCAACATGAAATGGCAGGACCAAAGGGTCTGTTTTGGGGGAAGAGTCAGCTACAAGCGTATGGGCTAAGTAGGTACACCTGTGATGGTGATGCGGCCTTGCCCACCATCTGGTTTCGGCATTTATACTGTAAACCTCACAAGAGAGGGCCTGCCTCTGCCTCTCAGTCAGTGTTGTCAGCTCCAGCACCTTGCAAGGTGCCTGGCATGCAGCAGGAGCTCAATCTGTGTCTAAGTCTAGAATGGGCCTGGCCTAATTTTTCTGTAACCAGAGATTTAACAATTTTATAATCAATTTCATAATACTCTAATTGTGGAATAAGAAATGAAAAGCAAGAGGTACGTAACTGATCTTATATAGTAGATGTGATTCAAAGGAAAGCATGTGTACACGAAGGCTTGACTTGGAAGCATTTTCTAACAAACATTTGTGAGTGCTGACCGTGAGTCATGTCTTCTTTTTTTTTTTAATGTTTTATTTATTTCTAGGAGAGAGAGAGAGAGACAGTGCGAGCAGGGGAGGGTCAGAGAGAGAGGGAGTCACAGACTGAAACAGGCTCCAGGCTCCGAGCTGGCAGTCAGCACAGAGCCCGACGCGGGGCTCGAACCCACGAACCGCGAGATCATGACCTAAGCGAAAGTCAGACGCAAAACCAACTAAGCCACCCAGGCGCCCCGAGTCGTGTCTTCTGAATACGTCAGCTCTCAGACACTGGCCTATGAACTCTGTGCACAACCTGCTTTAATCCCCACAACATAATGAAGAGTTTATAACAGGTCAGACAGCTAGGAGAGTAATAGGAATCAGAATTTGAATCCTGGTGCTCTTCAGGACCCTGTTGTACTATCCCCTCATGCCATGAGGAGACCTTCATGATCAGTTTCGAATGGAATTACACTTTAATAGCTTAAAGTTATTAAGTGATTTCTATTCAGGCCCAAATGCTTTTACTAATTGACGTAGGGCTTGTAGCACGACAGGCCTGGTGGTAATGAGCGCTCGGCAGGCGGGAGCCCTACGGGCCCATCCGCCCAGAGAAGAACAATTCAGACTTGTCATCTCCTGAGCCGTGCCTACCCTGGGAAAGTTAACTGCTGACATTTCAGAACCATTAACTAAATTCCCACATACGAAATGAGTCTTCAGAGATAAAATAATGATTTGTACATACTTATTTTATCTCCTCTATTAAAGAGATTTATAAAGATTTGTAAACCTTTTCACAGCAGAATTAATTCCAGGTTCTCAGATTCAATAGCCAGTTTCCCAAAACTACACTCTCTAGTGGAACAGGTTTTAAATGTCATCACCTGCCTGTACGAATTCTAGAGCAGTCTTCATGGCGGTAAAACTTCCCTGATTTAACTCTGGTTTCAAAAAACTAAGGGTTCAGGGGCGCCCAGGTGGCTCAGTCGGTTAAGCATCCGACTTCGGCTCAGGTCATGATCTCACGGTTCATGGGTTCGAGCCCCGCATCAGGCTCTGTGCTATCAGCTCGGAGCCTGGAGCCTGTCTTCAGATTCTGTGTCTCCCTCTCTCTCTGACCCTACCCTGCTCTGCCTTTCAAAAATAAAAACAAACAACAAACAAAAAAACACTAAGAGTTCAGTTAAAACAAGAAAAACTCCACGCACTGCAGATTTACCTGTAAGACATTGTCTCCATCCGCATCCAAGGGAGCCTGCACTAATTTGATGTTGAACACACTGTGGGAACGGCTGGACTCACGATTCAAATGGGTGTTAGCGATGCGTCTCTTTTTCTGGCCTGTGATGACAGGGACACCATTGAATAAACCTGAACTCCCTCGTTACAGCACTAAAAAGTACTGCTGTTAAGTTACAGTAGCCAACTCTCAAGGTTAAATTTATGGTTTCCAATTTTCTGAGTTTTAGCTTGATTTCTAACCTCTCCAAAAAACTTCAAAAGCCTCCTCAGTAGATTTCACTTCTACTTCTGTACATCCTGCAACATACATGTTATGGTTCTTGTCTTCGCGAAGCAATTTGGATTGTGGCGGTCTGTGAGAAAGAAAAGAACGTTAGTCTTCCTAAATTATGAGATACTAGTATCTTGGTTTAAAACTAGGACTAAAATGCCGGGCAACATGACACCGATTCTTACTATAAGGGAATAAGCCCAGGCAAGAGCTCCGGGTAAGCACAAGGATATGTAGTCCAGGTTAGTCACATAACAGGAGAATAGGAGCCTATGCTGTTTTAGAAGCTTTGCTCTAATTTGTTCTAACAAAGCACACAGAACAACACTAAACAAGGAGAGATGGACCGAGTAGGACAGCAACGTCACATGCACAGGTTAAGCATCAGAATCGAGCCAGCATTTCCCAAATTTTAAGAGAGCGAGCCGGTTCTGACATCAGAGTCAGAAGACGAGCTCGGGAAGGGTTTGGTTTATACCAGGCGTGGCGGTCCTTCAGAGTGGCGGCTCGAGTTGTGTGTGTGTGGCGGCGGGTAGGGGAAGGGTAGGAAGGGCGCCACCCGCTCGGCCTGCCCCGTGAACGGGATCGGTGGGGGCACGGTGCGTACCGGCCACCACTGCTCAGCGAACAGCAGACGTGCCAGGCAGCGGGGAGGGGCCTGGAGGGAGCGGCCAGCCCTGCACCGACGCCAAGCGCTGGTATAACCGCGCCCTGCTCCCTGAGAAAAGGGTCAGCGCGGTCACGGTCACGTACACAAAGTCTGCGCTCCTCATGGGTGTGCTGCAGCTGTTCCACCTACCGAAGGAACAGGGTGTGAGCTACGCGACAGTCACCGGAGTCGGCTCTTAAACGCCCTCCACATAATTTCTTCATTGTGTGGAAAAACACTTAAAAGGTAACCAGCTTGGAAGAGCCAGCTGAACACCAGCCTCACAGATCAAATCTGAATTCGGGGCTGAATACGCACTCAGGGGGTTCATTCAAGGAGTTACCAGAATGGTTGTTAGAAGGCATGCGAGGCACGCCTGTCAGCCTTCCTTTCCTAAAACTAAATAAAACCAAGATAGGCTTCTTTGAAACTAATCTCACTTAGAACACACCAAAAAAGAACCTTGGCCCATGTGCAAAAATGAAAGGGATCGGTAGCAACGAACGACATCACCAAGTTTAGGAAAATGGGTGCACACGACCGATGCTCTGAAACACTTGGGAAAGTAGGTAAGCTGTACGCTGTTTAACGTTCTCAGTCTGATGGTTTTCTAAATATGCAGCTGTTTCTCCAATAATGTTCAATTAAATAGACACACACAGGTCTGCATATTTGTGATCTGAGAGGCCCTAATAAAGACAGCAGTGAAGATAAACGTTTAGCTCGAGAACAAAGCCATCAACTCAAGAATAAGACACTAACGGTAAAGGGGACGCCAGTGTCCGCTGCGGCACAGGTGCCGATCGTGATGCGGGCTGGAGCGGTTCTTCCGTGTCAGCGGGTCACGACCCAAGGAAATCTGAGGAGCTATATTTTTAATCTGGCAGAGTGACGATCAGAGGCCACCTCGTATGAACCAGCGATGGGAGACCTGTGCTAGCTGCATGGACGAGAGCTTTGGGCTCCTCCCTGCAGATGTCACCAGCCGCAGATGGTTAATGTGGCAGAACCTCCAACACTGAGTATTAGGGGCTTGAAAGGTAAGCCGGGCACCTTGCCCGAAGGACACTTCCCTAAACGAGGACGATCCTTCTCAAGGCCAAGAGTTTCCAAAAGTAATGTCTAAGATGAGTATTCAGGTGTCTTTCCTCCTCAGACCCCTTAACCCACCGGGCCCTGATAACGGCCGCAGGTCTGGTAAGGACTAGAACCGTGCGCTGAACACCACCGCACGACAGACAAGCTACCTTTCATTTTTGAAAACAGAAGCAAGCTCTGTTACCATTTATCACTGAGGGAACTGAGGCTCACTGCCGTCAGGTGGCTTCCCCAGGGTTAAGCAGCTAAGGTGGGACTCTCTTCACTACTTACTTGGGCTTTATGGGATCAAACGGCACCTCCTCCAACAGATCATATATGTAATTGTTATAGATTTCAATATAAGAGACAAATACACCATAGACACTGTCTTCATCGACCTCTTCGGCTTTGCAGAATTCTTGTACATTTATCATATCTGCAAACTCTGGGTCTACTTGTCGTCTGAAAAAAGAAAAGAGCCAAAAAGCTGCCCTTAACTCATTGTGAGTCAGTATGGAAAGCAAAGGACCCCAAGAGGAAACTGAAAGGTAGAACGTAAACGGCCCACCCCCCCCAAGCGGCCATGCATTCAGCCGTCTGCGCGTGCTCGTGGGCAGCCAGCAGTGCCCCCGGAGCCGCACCAGGCTCGGCACCGGTTCAGACCCCCTCTCCCCTCTCCCTCCTGAGCCACACCTCTGCGAACGGTATTTCAAAACCACTGCGCTCAAAACCAGAGAGCATCTGAGCAAACGAATGTAATTAAGAACGTTCCTCAACTCTGATCTCACTCAAGTCAGCTGCACACCACCCACCCTTCACGTTCACCATCCCCTGTGCCTACGGAAGCTACTGGGGGGGGGGGGTGTCCCCCCAGGCCAGGGTCCCAGACACACGTAATTTACTCACTTGCTAGAGGGGGTCTTTGGATTGGGCATGGCTTCCCTTTTCTGCCGTTCTAACAAGGCGTCAACCTCACACTGTATGTCCATGCTATTCCTGTCATTAGATTTAAAAACCTGAAGTGGGGGTGAAAATCAGACCATGACTTTTAGAATTTGACTTAGATATCAAGAGACCCATTTAAGAAATAAGGATGGACCCAGCGTTAGTTGTTCCCCCCGTTAACACTGCACCCACAGGTGTCTCAGTCCCCGGGCCCTCAGGTGAGACAGGCACGGTACAAAAGAATTACACGTACATATCGTTTAGCTTGAAGCGTCCCTATGCTGTTAAAGATCATGTCCAGACAACGAGGAAGCAGACCTCCTTCCCCTGGAGAACCAGTCATCGTGTGAGTTTTCCCACTTCCCGTCACACCGTATGTAAAAAGGAGACCTACAATGTAGCAAGTGACACCAGGTTATAGATTAAAAGTCAAGTCCTCCGCTTTTCATATTTCTTTCATAGTATTAAAAAACACTTGGAATTAGTCAGCTCAAAAAAGTAAGTTTTATACCACCCTAACAAATTAAATGTGAAAACCCCAGTAACCATACCATTTTTGCCGTGAATGAGGTCATCTACTAAGGCATTGGCCACAGCATCGAAGAGCTCCTTCTGGGTGGTGTGAGTGCCAAACACTTGTTTAAATGAATACTGAGTCTGGGGAGAAGCGAGAAATAAAAAGCACGTGAATGGAATTTCACTCTGTCGAAGCCAGAAATACCTCTGTTTAAATGTATTCAGATGTTTTTTAAGATGTAGACACATAAAGAAAAAGCATGAAGTCTGTAAACTTGGAACTCTTAAAAAAGTCATGACATCCCTCAATTACACCACTTCCAAACTGACAAAAATGTACAGTTCTAAACCCTGGAAGAATGTAGGAGTCTCAAGCTCACTAATGCTTCACAGACCAAGGCGGATTTTAGACAACAAAGAGTGTCATGACTCAGTTACAGACTTGTGAAAAGCACCAAGTATTATTACTCCATACGCTAATAATTTACCACTTGCTCTTTTAAAATGACACAGTGGTCAGGGCACCTGGGTGGCTCAGTCGGTTAAGCCGCCAACTTCCGCTCAGGTCGTGATCTTGCCGTTAATGGATTCAAGCCACACATCGGGCTCTGTGCTGACAGCTCGGAGCCTGGAGCCTGCTTCGGATTCTGTGTCTCCCTCTCTCTCTCTTTCTCTCTGCCCCACCCCTGTTCACACACATACTCTCTCACTCAAAAATAAAAAATATTTTAAAAAATGCTTTAAATAGCACAGCAGCATAAAACCAAATGTTTTATTGTACTGTCTTAAAACCAGAAATGAACTGTGGATTTAATCTCATGAGTTCTTCTATGAAATTTTAAATAAACCGTGGCCTTGAAAAAATCAACACTTCAATTATCAAATCGCTACCAAAATAGATTATAAAATTATAACCATTATTACCAAAAAAGATTACTAAACTCCCGGAAAACTAGGCTGGGGAATATAAGTATACCTTAATGTCAGCTTAATTGTCCTAACCAGGAAGGGGCTGGAGTTCTGTTATTTCCATTTTTGTTATTTTCTAGTTTTTTTGTATTACAGACCTTGCAGTTGGGTCAGTGACCTTCTTGCAGGTTTCACTTCGTGAATGTCCATGCTAGGTTATTTGTTGCGTGAGTAGTTGTTAGAATTCATTACGGATTATAGCTTTTGTCTCGTGGGACCCCCTTTCCTGTTTTATACCCTTTTCCTTGAACTCAGCCTGTAGATATCTCATGACCCTTATTTGTTAAGTTAGCAGTTCTGTCTCCCCAGGAGGAGACACGTGCAGATCAGTACTCCAATGTGTAACAAGGCACCGGCCAGCCCGCCCAGGTGCCAAGGCCACCTTAGCATGGCAGTCACTCGGCTCACTCTGCCCTGTGATTACATACTGTGAATTAGGCTCATTTTATAACTTGCTAAAGATCACACACCAACTTCAGCTAGGCTAACTCTTCACTTGGTGGGAGTTTTTATTCTAAGCCTGTAGAGCAGCGGTAGAGTTGACGAGAAGAATAAAGAATCAGAACCGAAAGGATGCACCCTAGATTGTACCAGCAGGTTTTCAGATGACCTCCAAGTCCCTGTGAACAAACCCCTCCTTTCCAGTAAAGAAAAGCGAGGCCCGGGGCAGGCCCTTGCCCCAGCCTGCGGTGCTTCCGGTGTCCCAACCGGTTCCAGCCCCGCGCCCTTTCCAATTTCCAACCCGGCCTTCTGTCACAGGCACCGAGAACTGTTAACCCCCACCAGACTTTCTCTCTGCTTATACATGCTTGAAACTAAGTCCAGTTAAAGAAGTGAAGTTCCTCATAGTAAGTCACCTCTCAACTATCTGATGTCTTTGAAAACCCTCCAGGAAGCCTTTCCAGACCATTCATGCTGCGTCCATATTCTGAGGCACAGGACAGAGAGGTGCGTATCCCCTTGAAGCTTACACGACAGCAGGGAGAAGAGACTGTAAACAAACCAACCTCTAGGTGTGGTAAGTGCTACCAAGGAGCACCTGAAGGGCAGAAGTGGGGGCGGGGGGTGCCACTGGAGATAAGGTCGTCTGGACAGTCTCTGAGGAGGTGATATTTACGCTGAGATCCAAAGACAAGGAGCCATTCATGCTAAGAGCTGAGAGAAGGAAAAGTCCAGGCCAAGGGAGCAACCCTGAGGCAGGACCGGGACTTATCCGAGGACTGGATGGGAACTAAGAGATGAGGGTGGAGAAATAGAGGGGAGGCAAAGTAAGCAGGGTTTTGAAGACTGGGCCTTGAAAGATTTTTTTTTTTTTAATGTTTTAATTTATTTCTAGGAGAGAGACAGACAGCATGAGCAGGGGAGGGTCAGAGAGAGAGGGAGTCACAGACTGAAACAGGCTCCAGGCTCTGAGCTGGCAGTCAGCACAGTCAGCATAGAGCCCGACGAGGGGCTCAAACCCACGAACCGCGAGATCATGACCCAAGCGAAAGTCGGACGCTTAACCGAATAAGCCACCCAGGCGCCCCTGGGCCTTGAAAGATTTTAAACAGGGAAAAAGTCAGCTTGGATTTGTGCTTTAAAAGATCTCTCTGGCGGCTCTTGGAAAATGGACTGGAGAAGAAGATTCAGAGCGGAAGCAAGCGGTCCGGTTAGATTTCAAAGTCCAGTGGGCAGACCACTGCCCGTCTGCGAAGTGCCAGTCCCCTCTCCCGGAGGAGCGGACGACAGAAATCGAGAGCAGGTTTAGAGACCTGTGCGGCCCCGGCGGCGGCTGCAGCGGCCCAGCGGTGAGCAGCAGGCCGGGCGCGCCGGGCGGCCGTCAGGTCGGCTCTCCGGGCCCAGCTCCGCGGCGGACCTGCCCTGAAGGCTCAGTTGCGGTGCACTGAGAACTTTACAAGGCTGTTTCTTCAGCACAGGCCGCGTGAGCAGCACTAGTCTTGGTGGGTCCTAACGGGGCGGAGACCAGGGCGGTGGCAGCGGAGCCAGAAACCAAAGGACAGTTTCACACCGGAGCGGAGAGTGTACGGATAGATGGGACCGGAGCGGGGCCGGTGGGGGCTCCATTATACTGAGGAGAGAAGACAAGGGAGGAAGGGCGTTAGAGGGGACACGTAAACCCTGAGATGCCTCCGTGACAGCCAAACAGTGGATGTTTGACTTTAGAGCTGAGGAGTTTAGGCGGGAGAGAAACAGAATTATCATCATACGAGCAGCATTTAAGGCCATGGCAAAGTGCAGGGGAGAGAGCCCTGGGCGAGGCCACCCCAGCACTGAGAGGCTGGAGAAGGAAGAGGGGTCTGCAGAGTGGCCAGTGGGAGCCGAGAACAGAGAGACTTGGAGGGGGAGACGGCAGAGAGCTTCCGGAAGGAGCTGCTGCTGGGTAACACGCAGGGAGGACGAGAGGTGTCCGTCGAGTGTCAGCGACCCAGAGCCTACAGCAGGGCTTCCGACCATTTCACAAGAGCAGCGTCGACAGTGCACACAACAGCCCGAGTAAGTGCGTCCTTCCGCTTCCTCACAGTCGTCCCCTTTCGGCACACCTGTCTCTCCCATCGGTAAGAAGGGTACCGCTTCCCCCCCGGGCCCCCAGTTAGGCTGAAGCTCCTTCAAGGCAACTCGTTTTTGGAAATCTGCCCTGCAGCCTTAGGGCAACGTGTCTGAACTGAACTCCCTTCACTCGAGATTTTACTAAAACTGATGCTTCATAAGGGGTTGAAACAAATACACAATGCCTGTTGCTATTTATTTTTAAACGTTTGAGAGAGAGAGAGCGTGTGCAAGAGCGAGCACACGCAGTGGAGGGGCAGAGTCCCAAGCAGGCTCTGTACTATCACCATGGAACCGGACTCAGGGCTCGAACCCACCATAACTATGAAGTGCTGACCTGAGCCAAAATCAGGAGTTGGACATTTACTTAACCACTGAGCTCTCCAGGTGTCCCCCCCGCCCCCCCATTGCTACTGTAATCCGCACAAGAAATTGTGTGTGTGTGTGTTTGTGCGCGCGCACGTGTGTAGCCACCTAGCACAGTCATTCTCCATGAAACAGTCTCTAATGTACGCTCTAAAAAAAGAATATCCAGGACAAGAAATTACCGTGTAAAGGCAACCCTCCACCTCCAGGATACCAAGCGTATGCCTGTCCACACTTGATATACACGGGCGTTATAGGAAGTAAACAAGTTTTTCAAAAAAAGTGGGCACGTGTATTTTGTTAAATGGAAAAAAAATGGAAAAGCCCTTCAGGACAAAACACATCGAGTACAAATAGCTTGGGTCCAGCGGGAATTACCTCCTTATAGTCTCCGTTTCTGTTGAGTCTGTAACCCTCAGGAGTGTGGAGCTGGACGGTTGTATTATTGATCACTTCGATGCAACACTCTTGATCGGGAAGGCTCAGCGGGCGCACCCTGCAGTACACCTGAAAGTGCAGGAAGGCGCTTGAAGAACAAAGGTGGACTTTTTACCGGACCGTTCACTTAAGCTTCCTGTTTATTCCTTCAACACTTGGTCTCTCGACATAAGAGATTTATGTAAACTTAGAGCCACAGAAACTGAAACGTGCTACCAGAAGTGGTCAGATGCACACAGATATGCTAGAGAGGGGAGATTTTAAATGCACATACAGTTGAGGTAAACTTGGACAAGAGAAGCATCGAGTCACACAGCTTCTCTTCATTGTTATGCTGGCACCAATTTAATAAAGTGATGCTATTACTAATTTAAAAATCTCTAAAATCAACATTACACAATGAGAAGTATTTGAAAAGCTGGTAGAATTCTTGGAAATTGGATGTCAAGCAAAACTTGACAGCTTTACACTTAATATACAAATAAACATATACACAAGTAAGGTATCACAGCATAGAAATAAATAAGCAACGTCCCAAACACCTCTTCTTAATCGGTGACAGGGCTGAGGACAGGCTGTTCAGCTGTACGTGCAGAAAAGCGTCTGTTCCCTCAACTTAGACCAAGAGAGACAGCCCCGTGCCAGCGAGGGAAGAAAGAGAAAATATCCCAGAGCAAACCACCCAAATATTATTTGCATTTGGCTTTAAGAGCAAGGTCCCAAGTCTGAAACGAGTGAGGTACGCGCACTCTTGAGTAGTCACTGGACTGAATTGAGAAGCGCCTCTACGAAATGTGTCAGCGGTCCTGAAGGTGGAGGAAGAGCTCACCCCCGGCCGAGAGTAGGGAGAACTCTCTGGGACACTAAAGAATAGTTTTCATGATCTAATTTTTCAAATCGTAATTATAGGAGTTACACAGTTGACAACCAAAGACTTCCTTTTGCTGGACTCCTGAATCCTAGATGGAAACAAAATTTCAAAGCAGAACCAGCCTTATCCATTTAACTAAATGATCTCTGACCCGCTTTCCCATCTCGGTCCCTTCCAAGCATTCACAGAAGACAGAAAACACACAAACGAGAGTTCACAGGGAGGCCTTACCCCAACTGGGTCTTTAAGACTTGTTTGGGATCCTTTCTTCACTAGAAGTTTCCTGGGCGTCTTAGTCCTCCTGAACATGGGTTTAAAAAAAAACATTCCGTTCAAGCTAATATACAAAAACCTCACCATAATTCATATGGAGGCAGCCTCCCCAGGGCTTATAAAGTTCCAAACCTTACACCCGAAGTAAGGCAAGAATATGCTGCATTAGACGGAGGTTTGTGGCACACACAATGCAGAAGTAAAACTGGGTTTAGACCTTTTCGGCTCTAGATGTGCCTGCTTACCGTTAGAATAGTTATATATTTTAAACTGTTTGCATATTTTCTTGAACAACAATTTTACAGAAGCACGACAGAGTTGAAAACTCTATGGATAATTGACCACCCTTATCTTGAAGGCACTTATCTGCGCACAAGCAAACACGCCTCTCTGACAGCCCTTGCCAAGGCAGACTGACAAGCCACTGACAGCACCAAATTATAAAAATGCAGATGGAGGGGTGCCTGGGTGGCTTAGTCGGTTAAGCGTCCGACTTTCGCTTAGGTCATGATCTCGCGGTTCGTGGGTTCAAGCCCCACGACGGGCTCTGTACTGACTGCCAGCTCAGAGCCTGGAGCCTGTTTCAGAGTCTGTGACTCCCTCTCTCTCTGACCCTCCCCTGCTCGCGCTGTCTCTCTCTCCTAGAAGTAAATAAAACATTAAAAAAAAAATTTTTTTTTTTAAATGCAGATGGAGGGGCCCCTGGGGTGGCTTAGCCGGCTAACCATCTGGCTTCAGCTCAGGTCATGAACTCAGCCCCGCATCAGACTCTGTGCTGGCAGCTCACACCTGGAGATTCTGTGTCTCCCTCTCTCTCTCTGCCCCTCCCCAACTCGTTCCCCCTCTCTCTCTAAAAATAAGTATTAAAAAATTTTTTAATAAAACAATTAAAATGCGGATAGAGGAATCCATTTTTTCATCTAGATCTAGGTCTGTACTTAATTGTTTATGGAGTTCTCCAAGCTACCATCCTTTGTCCCCCAAACAAAATTGAGTCTCCAAACTGCAATTTCTCTTGCTCTCTTAGAAAGAAAACGGTATTTTCTCTAGCACGCTCCACCAACCCCCACCCTGATCTATAGCGTAGATGATGAACTCTTAACATCAAAATTAAGTTAAATTATTGGCATGGGCTACAGATCATTAAACTATTTTCTCAACATGTCTGGAGATGAAACAAGCCAATCAGTGTTTTAAGTACAAACTATTATGGTAGGTTTACTTAAATTCAACATTTTGTTTTAAGATAAAGATTTTGACTTTGGCCTCAAGAAAACAAGCTGTTTTACGCAAATATCAGCCCTCCCCCTCGGCGCAGGGACTGCTGGACCCCAAGCGGTCAGTGCGCTGGGCAGCGCGGCCGACTGCGGGAGGAATGTGGGCGTGGACGCCCGTGGGCGGAGCGGGGCTGTCAGGGGACCCCCCCCCTCCCCGCCCAAGGACCGCGGCCTCCGAAACCGGTCTCCGCCTCAAGGCCACGGGCTGGGCTCGCGGAAGACAAGCCGCGCTCGCGGGTGCCAGGGCCTTCCAGGGACCGAGGCCGCCTGGCGCCCTCAACCCCGGGGCACAGCCCGCGCGCGGGGAGACCCCCGGGCCGCGCTACAGCGGCAGAGTGCAACCTGGGCGAGCGGGCGGCCGGGCGGGAAAGGACCGGAGGCGCCGGGCCCAGAGCCAAGCGGATGGCACGCCGGCTGTAGGGCCCTCGGCTCGCGGCACTGCCCTCCCCGCTCTCCCCGACGTGGGCAGCCGAGCTCCCCTGCCCTCGGGAGGCCGGGGCGGGCCGCCGGGCTCCGGGCCGCAGGGGGCGGGGTGGGGGTCTGGAGGGCGCGCCGCGGCCGCGTCTCGGCGCCCGGGCTTCCCCCATGAGCGGCCCACGCAGGGGCTCCCGTTTTGGGGGCAGGGGCCCGGGCCGCGCGGGGCTCCGTGCAGACCGAGCGGCCGGCGACCGGCTGCGACGTGGGGAGACGCCGGCCCCGGCCCGATACTCACGCTGGCTTCATGGCAGCGGGCTCAGTGCTGCCCGGAGGCGTGCGCGGGACGCCGGGCTCGGTCGGGCGGGCTGGCGACGGCTGCGGGTCGGAGGGACGGGCCGCGGGAAGCGGGACGCCAAGGCTCTGGCGCAGCGCACGGAGAAGCCGGTCGACGCCGCCGCGAGCCCAGGTGAGCTCGCGCCCGGCGCAATTCAAACGGGCCAATCAGCGCCCGCCCGCCGGGAAGGGGCGGGGCCTCAGTGGAAGTGGCCGCTCTGCCGGAAGTGGCGCTTGTCTCCTAGGCGACCGCGGGGCGGAGGCGCGGGCCGTCTGGGTGTCTGGGCCGCAGTCAGATGTAACGAAATCCACCCCCTTCCATTTTCCCACGAGGAAACTGAGAGTTTAGTTCCCTACAGCGCAAGAAGTCCAACGGAAGGGCCAGCCCAGCGTGGGTTCAGAGGTCAGCAGGGTTCCCGCTCGGGGGTGTCCTGCTGTGCGGTGCCCTGCACGGTCAGATTCCTTGTCCGCCTTCCTATCACCCCATCATGCTGGCGTCCTCTCCCTCCTTCCCCTTTCCTGGGCGCTCCCTCTCTGGTTCCTCCAGCTCTTTCCTATATATGCATTCTTTTATCAAGTTATTTTCTCTTTTATCAAATTCTCAACAGTGTTTGATCCTGAGCATTGTTAAAAAGAAAGCCAACCGCCCGAGATGGAGTCCCTTATGCTAGACCAGGTCACCAAACAGGGGCTTAATATCTAACCCAAGTGTAGTTTCTACCTCCCCCATAAACGTAGTCTGAACCGGTCAGTCAGGAACTTTCTGGTCCGCACCAATGAGGTAATGTCACAGGGGCCTCCTCCATCTCCCCTCTCCCCCAGCTCCCCCTAAGGAAGATGAGACGACCTTCCAGGTAAGACCCCCCCTACCTCCCCGCTTAGGGAACATGACCTGGCCTGAAACAATCCTGTCTTGTCTTTTACCAGTAACTTCCTTGCCCCACCCTCCTTCCTACAAAAGCCTTCCATTTTGTACTGCTCCTGGGAGCATCCCTCCGCTTGCTAGATGGGATGCTATTCATGAATCGCTCAATAAAACCAATGTGATCCTTTAAATTACGCAGTTGAATTTTTGTTTGACAGCCTACAGAGGTGAGTAAAGTTTGGTCCTGCTCTTGAACAGCAATGTCCACTCTTTTCTAAGGTGAACTAATTCTGTCCCGCTTCAACATTTGTCCCTAACGTCATGACTGTCAAATCTGTGTCTACCTCTGTGCTCTTACGGGACTCTGGTCCCAACTCCTCAATCAGACACCAGTTAAGTGGACAAAACGTAACATCCTTGGCCCGTATTGTGCGACATAAAGATGGTTTTTCCTCATGCTTTTATTTCTTTGTTAAATGACGAGTCGGGACCTGTATTATTTAGGAATGGGGCATGGCTACTGGCTCCTTGTTAGTTACCTTGCAACCTGACTTTGGCCTTAGTTCTTCCATTCCTGAGACCACCAATTCCTTGATGCTAAATCGAATTGGCCCTTCTTCCATGCCTTTATCTTACTTGGCCTCTCAACAGCGCTGAAGATATTGCTCATTCTTCTCTTACTACACCTTCATTTTTCTCTTCTAGCTCTCTAAGCCCCCCTTTCACAGAACTCATTTGTGACTTCCTTTTCTGTGTGTGCTTAAACGTCGTTGTAGCTTAGGGTTTTGACCTGGTCACCACTAGCTGCCGACTTGCCTCAGGCATTGCCAACCACTCTCGCGGCTTCACACACCAGTCACGTTTGTTCTTCTGAGCTCCAGACATTCTCTGCTTGGGTGTCCCATAGGCACCTCATACATAATGCTCCCTAATCTCTTCCCCTGAACCTGCTCCCCAACCACCCAAGCCAGAGTCCCCGGTACCCGCTTTGACTTCCTGCCTCTCTGTTCCACCATCCACTCACCACATCTTGACAGTTCTACCCACCAAAGAGCCTTCAAACCTCTCAAACGCTGCTCTCTATCCCCTTGGCTCCTCCCATCTCTTGTCTGGATGACTGTGACAGTACCCTAGCAGGCTTCCCTGCTGCTGCCCCCCAAATCTGCAGCCCACTCACCTCTAGACCACAGATCGAGTCATGTGCCTCCCCAGCTTGTAGGAGCTCGCAGGAGCTCCCCAGCGCTGAACACCCTCACAGGGCCCTGAGGCTCTTCCTCTCCAAGTTCATCCCGTACCGTTGCTCCCTGCATGCATGCGCGTGCGCGCACAAACACACACACACACACACACACACACACACACACACACACAGAGCCACGCTGACCTTCAGTGCCCCCCGGGCTCACCTAACGGTCCTTCTGCTGGCAAGCTCTCCTCCCCGCCTTCCTCCGACAATGCCTCCTTATTCTCAGTTCTCAGCTGACCTTCTGCCAACGACTTGCCACCGGGTGCTAGACCCCTACTCTATACCCCTAGTCCCCTCCACCCTGCCAGCAACCTGTTGGTTTCCATCAGAGCCCCCATCCCGCTTTGGTCACTGTTCCTCTATCAGCTTATCCCCCGCAGGCTCACTAGGTGGCACTGTTGCACGCTTAGCGCCCCACGATGGAGGCCCCCTGGTAAATGTCCGGGAGGAATGGATGCATCCGTCCCGGTGGAGGACTCAGGTCCATCGAGACCCACCCCAGCGTTTCTTCAGGGCGCTTTCTTCTCCCTCCCTCGCCTCTATCCGCACTAAAGCTCTCTGGCTTGTTTTCTTTAAAATATAAAATAAAATAAAAAGTCACCTCACACCTAACACATTCTTCTCTCTTCCCAGTCCCGCTCCTCCCTCCTCCCTGCTCCCCCCTCCAAGGGCCTCCCATGGGCAGTAACAGATTTGCGTTTTCCCCTAGAATTAGAGATCCAGACCAGGGATAGCAGACGGGAAGGGGGTAGAACCGGGAGGCTTCTACCCAAGTCAGGGGTATGGAGGTATAATTTGTGTCCAGTAAAACCTAGCCTTCTCGGGTGGATTTGACAAACACACCATCCTGTACCACTGTCACTGTCCCAGCAAAACTTTCTTTGTGCTGCTCTTGTAGTCAACGACCTTCCTCCACCCACAGCCCTTGGCAACCCCTTTTCTGACTTCCTTCCTTAGAGTTTTCTCTGTTCCAGAATGTCCCTTCTTCAGCTGGGCAGAATGGAGATTCAATGCTTTTTTGAGTTGCACACATTGGTACCATGTTTAGTAATAGTAATCCCCTGTGCGAATGTGTGACAGTTTAGCCATCTGCGAGCCCATGGCCGTTTAGGTCATTTCTACCTTTTTGGCAGTTATGAATGAAACTGGTATAATTATTTGCATGAAGGTCTTTATGCAGATGGGGATTTTCATTTCTCTTGGGTGGGATTGCGGGTCTTATTGTATCACTTTATAAGAAACTGCCCAACTGGCCTGGAGGGTCCTATGCAAATCACTGGAGAGAGGCTGACCCTATGCCAGCTGGAAACCATAATTAACCTGAACACCCACAAGAACGGCTGCGGGAACCGTATAACCACCAGTGACCAGAAAGGGCCAAAGTCCAGCGTGTTTGAGGGAAGGCAGTAAAAGTGAGGACCTCAGGATGCCTGTCTCCCTGACCCTCCCTGCTGTTCACACTCAATAGCTTAGGCAGCGCTGTCTCACATCCGCAAGCCATGTGACTCTCCCCAGGCCATTTGAAAATGAACGACTGGAGGTTAATGTTTTATATACTCAAAAGACAATAAAAATCAGCAAGCTTAGTGGGGGGGGGGGGTGTAAAATTGATACAAAAAGAAAACAAATGATCTGCATAGTATTTCAAACGAGTAACATAAAGGGGCCATAACTAACCCAAGTAATTTAGACTATTGAGACTATATGCCCTCAGGCTCCAGACAAAAAGAACTTGAAACATATATTGAATTCTAATTAGTAAGCCTTTTTGCAGACACGGGTTAGTAATTCTCAAATGACATTCGGTACATTCTAAGATTGAGCAAATAATACATTGTGGATAATGGGAGCCAAGTTTCTCTCTGTTAGAGATGACAGTTATATACACATCAAAAGGGGGAAGGATGAAAAGTACCTGGGAATTCTTCATACTATTTGGCAATGTTTTTCCAAGTTTGAAGAAAAAAAAAAAAAAAGAAGAATGGTTGGACTTGACCAGTGTTTCTTAAACTGCCTTATATTAAAAATCACTTGGGGGCAGGGTGGCGGCCCCTGGCTGGCTCAGTCGGTTAAGCTTCCAACTTCAGCTCAGGTCATGATCTCATGTTTCGTGAGTTCGAGCCCCACGTCGGGCTCTGTGCTGACAGCTCAGAGCCGGGGCCTGCTTCGGGTTCTGTGTCTCCCTCACTCCCTGTCTCTCTGCCTCTCTCCTGCTCGCATTCTGTGTCTCTCAAAAATAAATATTTTTAAAAATTTTTAAAAATCGGTTGGGGCTTTTGATAAAAATGTGAAACTCCAGAGCTCCTCCACCCCCAGGTAATCTGCATCTGTGCATTTTATATCATCAAACACATTTTAAAAAATATTTATTTAGAGAGAAAGAGCAAGTGCAAGCACAGAGGAGCAGAGAGAGAAAGAGAGAATCCCAAGCAGACTCCACCCTCTCAGGGTAGAGCCCAACTCTGGGCTCCAACTCAGAAGCCATGATCATGATCTGAAAGGAAAGCAAAAGCTGGACGCCTAACTGACAGAGCCACTCAGGTGCTCGCATCATCAAACCCATTTTTGAAAGGCTGGATTAAATTATCTTTGAGGCCCCTTGTTCCGAGCTCTACAGGAGGCATGAATTAAGCCAGTTTTAGAAATTTGTTGCCCGCAGTGAAGAGAATGGGTGTGACAATTCTCTATTTGCCCCAAATACGTTTATTACAGAGTTGAAGCACTCATACAAGTACGGAGAAGCCCCATGGACAATCTCCTGGGAAGAACATTCAGGAAAACTCCCAGAAGTCTTCGAAAGTCAGGTGACCCAGACATTGTCGAGATTTGCACATTTCAGGAATGAGTGGCTTGACTTCCATCCTTCCGACAGGACCAGGTGACTTCTGGTCTTGGGGACTTTGCCCATTCACTACCTGACCTGAAACATTTGCCCCGCCCCATGCTGGCCCCCCGTCCTGCCCGCCAAGGCTCTTCTCAAATGTCAGCTTCGCAGGGTGGCCATCCAGTCTCACCTGCCCTCCCCCACCCAACTCTATTTCTTCACAGTCTTCTTTTCTTTATAGCACTTACCATTATCGGAATGCATCTGTCTTTCCCTCCTGATGGTCACAAGATTCACTCCGTGCAAGAGGGACAAGGTGAGTGCTGTTCACTTCTCTTACCCCTGGTCCCTAAAACAGTGCTCACTCCATACATACCAGGCACAAAATGTAAACATTCATTGAATGATTTAGCAATGCACACGTGTACAGGAACCTATTTCTTAAAGATATTTCTTAAGTTTATGTATTTATTTTGAGAGAGAGAGCAAGCGCACAAGCAGGGGAGGGGCAGAGAGAGAGGAAGAGAGAGCAAGAGAATCCCAAACAGGCTCCACACCGTCAGCACAGAGCCCGATGCTGGGCTTGAACTCACAAACCATGAGATGATGACCTGAGCCGAGATCAAGAAAGAGTCAGATGCTCCACCGAATGCAGCACCCAGGCGTCCCAGGAAACTATTTCTCACGACAAGCAGACATGTTCACAGTGTAGTAAGTGAAACGTAACCAAATCAAGTGGGTAACAGGCCTTTATTATAATAAATAAACTTTATTTTTTTCTCCTCCCATACAGTTTAAGAAAACCAGACATAATGTAAGTTGGAAGAACATCTGAGTTTAGAAATGGGTCTTTGCCTTTTCATCCTTAATAGATTGTTGACTAGAAAATCAGAGGCCGGCATTCAACTCATATGGTATAAAGAGTTGTCATACAGTGTGAACAGGCGTGTCACATAGTACCACAGCCGACACAAATTTGGGACACGGCAGAGCCAAGCGAAGGGTCTCTCTAACACATCTGACCACACTGTTCAACTCCACCTTGCCTGCCTTAGAACGTCTCATGTGAGCCAAGCTCCACAACAAACACTTGACGATGACGGCAAGTCACACAGATCACTTGGTACTCAAATGGTTTCTAAAGCCCTCCACTTCTCACTCTGATCAGTGACAAATGCATTTCTCTCCAGAAACCGGGCCACGGAAGGCAAAACTCTACGACGAGCCAAGGACGATGGAGGTTAACTGAACAGCCTCATTCGAATACATTCAAGTTTTATCACCACCGGGGCATCTGGGAAATTTGGGGGCAGCGTTTCTCATGCAGGAGGAGGAAGAGGGACATCCCCTTAGGAGTTTGTCACCCCCCACGAAATCCCCTTTGAGATCGTGCGGTGGTGAGCATGACCACCAATGGCAGCATGGCACATTTCCAAGGCACATTGAGACACTAAAATACCTGAGGGCTATGACATGGAAAGACCTCTTCCCGGTGAGGTCTTCAGCTCACCCCCTGCCAAGCTTTTTGACTTCCCGGGATGGCTTCAGCCAATCTACACCCACTTACACTTCATACCTATTGTTAATTCTTATTTGTGAGCCCACTGTCTGTATCTAGAAGCTTCCAAGTCAGCATATTGCAAACTGTCATCAAATTTTAATTTGTAACACTGTCCAAAAGTACACAGTGGGACTACGGTACCAAACGTATAAAAACATTATGAAGCCCTGGTCGTCTTCTGTTGAGTTAACATTTCTTTCCCATCAGCAAGGATGATGAAAAAGTCACATCACCCAAATTTAAAAATCTAAAGGGCCTTCAAGTTAATCACCTGTAACTTTCAACTATTTCTGAACTAAACAAACATTTTCCTCTCTACAAACAAGGAATATTATAAAGAGCTTCGTGTCTTTGGCATTGCTAGAATAGGGTATTTAAACTTTGGACCTTTTGTCAGCATAAAATGGAAATCACAGCAAGATGAAATGGATGCCCACAGACCCCGCTGGAGTAAAATTCCACTAACAGTGTCAGACTGTTGCCCCAAACCAAATTTTGTCACACAGCTGGGAATTAATGTACCAAAAATTTACCAGCCCATATAATTTTATCAGGCTACCTTTCCCCCAGAGGAAGGAAATAAACAACATAACTAATGAAATCATATTTCTTGACCACTCTCATCCAATATAAATTTTTACTCGTCCTCAGAGGATTGGACGAGGAGCTATTCACAAGGCCATTCACGTTTCTGGGCCAGTTAACCACAGAGGCAGTATTCTAAGTTTGGAGGGTGTTTCTGAGTCAGCAAAGAGGGTCCTGCTTTGTGGGGGACAGCTCCTCAGGTCATTAGCAAGTGCAGATCGGGGGTGATGGGGCCTCTGTTACAAACATTTTGCATCAGCATTTCTGAACTCTCTGAAAACCCCACAAAATACTAAACTCTAACTCCTAAGGCAACAGATGAGAAAATGCTCAGTGTGCTAGCCTTATGCAGAGTAGACAGTGGGGGGAGGGGGGGTACATCCTTAGGTGGCGACTTGCTAAAAATTAGGTCAACTGCAACAAAGCCTATAGGCCCAGTGCCTTCTAGAACTCACAACACCAGCAGTTTTCACATTTGCCCTGTGGCTCTTTGTATTAGAATCACCTGGGGACTTGCTGAGATTTTAGGGCAAATCTCCTCTAAAAGACTTACATTTTAAACGACTAACACAGAAGCTCCTGATCTGGCCTGGGAATCTGCATTGGATGCAAACTCACCAAGAGTTTCTCACTCTCAAGAAAGCTTGACCAACCCTTTCCAAGGTCTTTGACATCCTCTGCGCCCGAACACTAAACTCTGTAGCACCTCTGAAATGCTGAAGCAATAGTAAATGGATAGTGTCCTCAAAGACAGCGATGCCATTGGTTTAAACAGTGACGAATGAGCACAGCCAACTGGACTGAACTCAGCTAGCTCCCATACCTCACACACTTGACCTGCACCGCATAATCCTGGGCAACATCAAATTGGCAACAAGAAAACAGAACAGAAGAGAACACGGACACCAGCCATGTGGACTTTAGAGAAAATCCAAATCCACGTGACGTGGGAATTGGCACTTTAAGGCAGAAAAGGCTTGTAGGAAAGAGGACTCTTTCTAGTCGTTCCCTTCACTAGGTGGAGAGAGCAAGAAGACCCCTCCCCAAACAAGGTCTCTTCATTCTGAAGTGCCTCCCCACTCCCCAGGGCTCCCACACGCCCAGCTTCCTCTTACTCAGCACCCCTACCACTGCTGATCTTTCTGGTTCATTCTCCCACTGTGGTAGCTCTCAGCAGGGGTTGTGCCTGACTCAACAAATGATGCATTTTCAAAGGGTAATCCTACAGGGGTAGTAAAGCTTCATCCAACTATTGAATAGTAAGGTTTCAAGGGTAGTATGCTTAACCCAACTGTTTAAATAGAACTGAACTACCCATTTTAAATAAACTTAAAACGTAATGAAAGATCATGGATTTGACCAAACAAGGACTTACTTGAACCCATCTTCCTCTTTTAAAATCACAGTAGAGAATAAGTGCACATGTAGAGAAATTTCCCCAGTTAAATACCTATTGACACGAATGCACTAAAAAATGCCAAGACACCAACCACTATGAATATGTTAGGCCTTGGTGAACACGGACCGTGCCACCGGCTTAGGATGTTGTAGCTTAATGTTGACATCTGGCAAGACAAGCTTATGATCTGAATCATGTTTCTTTTTTATGTAATTCTGGCTCAGGAATCCGATACAGAGCAGCTGAGAAATAAATTATGTTGCCGAGGTTGAAGATGAGGCACAGAAGTATGGCTCCAGCTATCTGAGGGAAAGACAGGGGCCTGGAGTTGGCCAGGAGCCATTCCCTCCTCAGAGTCTTGTCCAGAAGTATGGCTTCCATCTGCAGGTGCGTGGCCAGGATCACACACACATGGAAGAGCTGGTGACTGTGACCTACGGCAAACACAGAAAAGGCTGCCGGGATCAGCAATAAAAAATGAACTGGGGGTGGGGGGGGTCACCTGAGTGGCTCAGTCGGTTAAACGTCTGACTTCAGCTCAAGTCATGATCTCACAGTTCATGAGTTCAAGCCCCGTGTTGGGCTCTGTGTTGACACCTCAGAGCCTAGAGCCTGCTTCAGAATCTATGTCTTCCTCTCTCTCTTCTCCTTCCCTACTCACACTCTATCTCCTTCTCAGAAATAAATAAACATTAAAAAAAATTTTTTTTTAATGAAAAGGGGTCCCTGGGTGGCTCAGTCGGTTAAGCGTCTGACTCTTGATTTCAGCTCAGATTATGATCTCACAGTTTGTGAGTTCAAGCCCCACAGTGCACTGACAGTGCGGAGCCTTCTTGGGATTCTATCTCCCTCTCACTTTCTGCTCCTCCTGAGTCTTTCTCTCAAAATAAATAAACTTTTTTTTTTTTAAAGAATGGACTGCTGATAGTATACCATGGTGTGTAGGCTAAAAACATTATGCTGGGCAAAAGAAGCCAGACACAAGGGACCACATATTGTCAGATTCCATTTATGTCAAATGTCCAGAAAAGGTAAATCCACAGACACAAAGTAGGTTAGTGATTTCTCCAGGCAGTGGGTAGGAATCAGGATTGGGCAGGAGGGATATCACTGGGGTGAAGATCGCGTTCTAAAACTCATTTATGGTGATGCTGATTCAACTTGGTAGGTTAACTAAAAATATCACCTAATTGTAGACTGGAAATCAGAGAATTATAGGATATGTAAAATATACCTCAATACATTTATTTGTTTGTTTTTGAAATGTTTGTTTGTTTGTTTTTGAGAGAGAGAGAGCACAAGCAGGGAAGGGGCAGAGAGAGAGGGAGGGAGAGAATCCCAAGCAGGTTCCACACTGACAGCAAGGGGCTCAAAATCACGAGAGGTGAAATCATGGCCTGAGCCGAAACAGAGATTCTGATGCTCAACCGACTGAGCCCCCCAGGTGCCCCATCATTTTTTTTTTTAATGCAGTGTGAGAAACATTAAAAGGCCCACATACATTGTTTTCAAACAACTTGTCGACCAGTCCTATTTTGCACATGAAGCCTGGCATCGTGTCCTACCCAAGTTCACCTCTTCAGAACCTGCACTCACCAGCTCCAACTCTGATTCGAGGGCCGACGGAGAAGCCAACCGGACTCTCTGGTGGCCATTTACAAGGCAGTCCTCTCCCTGCTGCTGGTTAATCCCAGATGGGTCCCCCCAGGGGCTCTTCCTCCCTGATGACTTACAGGGCCCTGGCTTGTCAGCCATGTGTCCACGGAGAGGAGGACCCAGCGAGGGGGGTGGCAGTGGGCAGGGACACGCTGGGTTGGTGGTGATGAGGAAACGAGTTGCCCAGGGCCCAGGACTGTGTGCTGACGACCCTCAGAAATCAGGACATGAGAAAGCAGTAGAGACAACGTGTGTCATGGGCTGAGTTGTGTCTCCCCTCCCCCAGTTCCAAATGTTGAAGTCCCAACGCCCAGTACCCCAGAACATGACCATGCCTGGAGACAGGATCTGTTGGGGTTTTTTTTAAGTTTATATATTTATTTTGAGAGAGAGAAAGAGAGAGATTGAGAGAGAGAGCCTTAAGCACAAAGCCCAACATGGGGCTTGATCCCAGGAACTGTGAGATCATGACCTGAGCCAAAATCAAGAGTCAGATGCTGAACCGACTGAGCCGCCCAGGCGCCCCTGAAGACAGGGTCTTTTAAAAAGACAATTAAGTTAACAAGAGGTCACTAGGGTGGACCGACTGTGACTGGTGTCCCTTTTTTTTTTTTAACGTTTATTTTTATTTTTGAGAAAGCACAAGCCGGGAAGGGGCAGAGAGAGGGCGAAAGAGAATCTAAAGTGGGTCCCATGTTGACAGCTGTGAGCCTGATGTGGGGCTTGAACTCACAAACTGCGAGATCATGACCTGACACTCAACTGACTGAGCCACCCAGGTGGCTGGTGCCCTGCTAAGTGGGGAGGTTAGGAGCTGGGCATGCACGCACACAGAGGACAGGCCGCATGAGGAGAGACCGGGAAGATGGCCGTCTGCAAGCCAGGGAGAGAGGCCTCAGGAGAGACCAACGCAGCCCACACCTTGGTCTCAGCCTCCAAAATTATGAGAAGCTGCATTTCTGTTGTTTAAGCCACTCAGTACGTGATTCTTTGTTACGGCAGACCTAACAAACAGGTACGACACAAGAGGTAAAAAAGGATTCTCTTTCATTAAAAAAGAGAGAGAGAGATGGGGGCGCCTGGGTGCCTCAGCTGGTTACGCGTCCGACTTCGGTTCAGGTCATGATCTCACGGTTCATGGGTTTGAGCCCCCGTTGGGCTCTGTGCTGACAGCTCAGAGCCTGGAGGCTGCTTTGGATTCTGTGTCGCCCTCTCTCTGCCCCTCTCCCACTCGCATTGTGTCTCTCTGTGCTCTCTCTCTCTCTCTCTCTCTCTCTCAAAAATAAATCAACATTTCAAAAAGAGCCCTCTCAGGTGGGTGGCCGGTGAGCTCCTTAGAGCAGGGAACTGCCTGCACCCCAGGCTGTGTCCCACAGGAAGAAGGTGTGCCTCAGGGTCCCTCCCCTGCCTCACTCAGGCTATACTAAGGGGCCATGTATGATTTCCAGATCCATGCATGATGCAGCCAAGGGGCTTCTTGTCCGGCTGAGAGCCCTGCTCTCCAAGGACATGTGTCCAGGCAGAGAGGTGACTAGCTGAGCTCACCGAGGCTCAGACCAATCTTCAATAGGGCAAGAGATTTAAAAAAAAAAAAAAAAAAAGCTGGAAAACGCCATGAGCCCGGGAGGTAGCTGAAATGCAGCTACAATCAGAAAAGTGATTCCAGCAAGCTGGCCGGACAGGAATGCGGAGGGACTTCCCACGGGCCGGGCTAACCGCTCGGCACTCTGCCCCGCGTCCGAGAGGGAACCCCACAGCTGGCGGACCCCATCATGCAGGACGGATCGTTTTCCAAACCTGTTGTTAATGGTCCGTCATCAACTGTCATCTGGCAAATGTCCCCCGGTAGGGGTGTCTTTCTGTTCTGTCCCCTTAGGCCCAAGAGAGTGGGATTAAAAGTGAGTAAATCAAGTGTTATTGAGACACCGGGGAGGTGGTATGACAAAACCAGGGCTATTTTTCCTGCAGCCGCCCGACTTCATACACAATCACCGATACTTCGTCTGGGGGCGGGGGAGGGGGGCAGCGAGGTGGACAGGGTTCCTGTAGACAAGTTCCAACTCCCTGGCCCTCTCGTCTCCCTGCTTTTGAAATTTGAAATTTGCCGCCCACGCGTTTTGGTCACTGGCTTCCCTTCTGGGGACAGAACTGAAGTTAAGGGAGATGAAGCTCTCGTCAGAGCCAATACACCAAACCTGGCCCGCGTGCCTTAGGGGGGAGGGGATGGAAAACTCAACTGGACAAAAGGGGCTTCAGGAGAAGCAGGGTCCCCACCCACCACTTAAGGATAAGGGCTGACCCTTGAGGTCCCGGGACAGCGTATCTGAGGATCTGTCATCCCAAGGCCTCACCAGAAGCGGCCCAAGGTCCCTCTGCCCCGCTTCCCTAGACAGAGAGGGAAGGCGCTCTCCCAGCGGGCGGAAGTCCTGTGGCTCCGATGGCCTCTCTAACGCCAGTGAGCTCAGGTCCCCCTGGAGGGCCACCGGCACGCCCCGAGCTCAAGGATGTGTGGGGGCCTGAGAACCTCGCTCCACCAAGACACCCAGCCCCACTGCAGCCGCCTGAATGAGACGGACACTCTCCCGTCTGTTAGCCTCAGCCACTGTCACTCTGTCTGTCTTGTTCCTCTCCAGAGCAGCCCTTAATGTCCGTTTCATCCTGGGATTTCCTGGTCGGGGTAATAACGAGGGACTCCCTAGGCCCCCGAGCCCGTAGGAATGCCTTAGAATCCTGGATGCACCTGCTCTCCGTCCTCCCCTCCTCCCTGGCCATTGCGGGCTGCGTACATGCTGGCCCCGAGACCTTACGGTGTCACTCCCTCGCCCTGCTCCTAGGGAAGCCCCGAGGGAATTGCGCCTCTCCACACCCCTGCTTCCCCTTTGCAGCCACACGCACGGGCATCCTGGTGGCAGGGAACCGATGGGCAACGGGGTCCCCGCACACTCACCGATGTAGTCGAAGCGGCCAGGCGCCAGGCGCTCAGGCAGGTGTGCCGAGTAGAAGAAAGAGGCCAGGAGGGTCATGGCCATGTGCTTCTGGTGGTACAAGACAGCTTCATTCTGCGCACCGTCCCCCGGGAGCGGGAACAGCTGCAGGGATTGAGAGAAACATCAGGTCTCGAGAGCAGGCCCCCTTCCCTCTCATCGCCCGATGGCGCCTCTGCACACACGTGTGGACACCCCAGGCCAAGGCCTTCACCTCCTCGGCTCTGGGGCTTGGAAAGGGAACTCTCAGGGACCATGGGAGCAGGATTCCTATTCTTTTTTTTTTTTTTAATTTGTTTGATGTTTATTTACTTTTGCGAGAGAGAGAGGAAGAGAGAGAGCGTGTGCGCAATTGCAAGCAGGGGAGGGGCAGAGAGAGAAGGAGACCCAGAATCTGAGGCAGGCTCCAGGCTCTGAGCTGTCAGCACAGGGCCTGATGTGGGGCTCAAACCCCACGAACTGTGAGATCATGACCTAAACCAAAGTCAGACGCCTAACGGACTGAGCCACCCCCAGGCGCCCCCATAATTCCTATTCTGATTGTGATCATTTGAGACCCACGGCAACTGTATTTTATTTTATTTTAATTTTTCTCCCCGCAGGGCAGCTGTATTTTAATCCTCCAAATGCTCCTAGAGCCTTTTGGATTATTTAATTACAAAAGAAAAGGAAAGAAATCAAGGAAGGAAAAGAAAGGAACAGAAAAATCCTATTAGATCTATTTGACACTCTCTTGTCTGGGGGGGTACATGGAAGTATAGTAAAAAGTGGTCTCCTCGCCCTTGAACTCACTTCTCACCAGCGCATCCCTGATTTCATGCTCCTAAGGCCTAGAAATCCCTGGAAGGCCTCTGAGTCATCAGAACGTATTAATCACGGCCATTATACTGTTTGAGAGTTAAGTACAGTTTTTGCATTATCGTGATAAATGATGACACCCGCCACCACTTACCTAGGGCACTAAGCCAGCCTTTTATTTGCACCATTACATCAGAGCCTCGACTCTACCAACAACAACCCATTTTGCAGATGAGGAGGCCAGAGGGTGACTTGCAAACCACTAATCACCAGTGAGGTCGGGGTGCGGATCCAGGCAGGCTGATTTCCAGAGCGTGTGTGCTCATCATCCTCACCCCTCGGGATCAGACCCCCTCTGCCCCTCCCCCGCCACTGTCTGACGCAGCCCCGCCCCTGCCCCGCCCCCGTCTGACGCAGCTGGTGCTCATAATAACGCAGACCTGTGCTATGCAAAGTTCTCTCTGTTCTGGTGTCCTGTATGTGTTCTGCGTCCTCAAGGAAGGAGTCAGGGGAACGGGCTGCACCCTCACCTCTAGGTCCCCCGCTCACCTGCCCCCCTCACACAGGTGGCATTGGCTCTGCCTGCCCCTTGGGTCCCTGACTTATGCATCAAACCCCAAGCCGCCCTTGGGAGGGGAACTCCACTCACTGGGTGCAGGCCTTCTGGCAGGCATTGCTGAGCCCTTTGATCTGCTGATTTGAATAATCCCCTCAACCCCTCTGTGCAGGAGAGGACGTTAGCCTCATTGACAGATGAGGAAACTGAGGCTCAGAGAGGTCATATGCATTGCCTAAGGTCACACAGCCAGTGCGCCCTGGGATTTGGACTCAGGTCCATCTGATTGCGGGTGCCTGGACTCTCCCCCTTCTGGCGTCCCTCCTACGCCCTCTTCCTGCATGTGCTCCAATTCCCATCTATCCTTAAGATCTTCATTTATACTTTTTCCTTTGCTGCTAATACGTTAGACGATAATACAGAACAAATGCACTTACCGGACACGTGCCACCAGCCAGTGATCTCATGTAATCTTCCCCACAGTCTGATGAAAGCAGGTGTTATTGCCATGCCCATTTTACAGCGAAGGGAAATCAAGGCATAGAAATGGCACATAACTTGCCCAATGTCTTCCAGTGAGAACATATTAGAGATTTGTCTTCAGAGCCTGCTCCCCTGGTCACTGCACTAAACCCCAGGCTGCCTCCCCTTCCCAGCCCTCCATGATTGCTTCTGAGCCCCCTGTCAGTGCTGGCCATGGATGCATCCCCTGTGGCTTGTCAGGGCCTCCGTTCTCCTGCTGTCTCCTAACTACTAAGGGAGCCCCTGGGTCGTGCCACCCACGTATCTTGCAGGGACCCCGCCCGGTGCTTTGAGCCCCAGGCGCTCAAGAAACAGTAGATTCCCAGGTGTGGCCAACAGGCAGAGAAGCAATTAGATTAGGGGGGCCCTTACCCTGTAGAAGATGGGAAGGGAGTCCCAGGTGTAGGGATAAGCAAAAGCAAGGATGCGAACCAGCTTGCAGAGCCCGGGCTTCTGGATTTCAAGAAACCTACATCAGGGAAGGAAAGGGGGAAGAAACTGGGGTGAACACGGTTCCCGTGAATGACACCCACGCACACACGACAAATAACCGAAGGCAAGTTATCGACAGAAGAGAAGTATTTTTGTACAATCCCCTCCTGAGGCCAGCAGCTCCCGCACCAGCCTCTTCCATTCCGCACCGCCCCCAGCGGGAGCGACTCTGCCTCCCTTGTGAAAAGATCCCCGGGGGAAACCTTTATCTCCTGGGGGCCGCATCATGAGAAGCAATGGTGTCCAAAGAAGCCAGGGGGGAGGTTCTGGGCTGGGAAGGCCCTTCGAGAGGCGAGTTATCTGCCAAAGGGCCTTTTAGAAGTCCAGCAACGACCAGGATGGGGAGATGTGTGGGATGTGGGTGGCCCCCAGCACGGCCCCCCGGGGACGAGCATGACTGTGAAGGAAGAGATGTCAGAGCCACCCAGAGGTGTGCTGTGCGGAAGCCCTTGGTTCAGTGAAGTGTTTAATTACTTTGAGAGATTTCTGGAATGCTTAGTACCACACACACGGACACTGGCCTGGAGAAACTGAGTAAATGTGGCCCTTCCCCCTCTTCTTCAGCCACACCCCGACCCGCCTCCAGTCCCAAGAGGAAGCTGATTTTAAAATGAGTGGTGCTGACTGTGGCAAATATAGGTGGGTCCTCCTGAACAAAAGGCGATGGGGCCCCTGCTGGCCTCGGCCCGGCCTGGGGGGGAGGGAGGCAGCCCAGGGTGTGGGGACTTGGGCAGCACAGATGGCCGGCTGGATACCCGGAGGAGGAGAATCTCCACGCAAGACCACAGCCCCGCGCTGGGGCTCAGGTGAGGGAGTGCTCACGCCCCAGGCCGGGGGACTGTCAAGGCAGAGTGGGAGAGGAAGTCCCGCTTGAGTCCCACTGGGCATCATGGGGGGTGGGGCCCTCCCTCGGTGTCCGCAGGATTGCAGGGCGAGGCCGGAGGTCCCCACAAAGGTGGTGTGCAGAGTCAGAGCACAGCAGGGCTGGGGGGGTGGCCGTTCCGGCAAGGCCAGTAAGGTAGTGGAGTCCCTCTGAGCCCTTCCGGACAGTCCTGCTCCTCTTCACACTCTCTGGGGGGAATGGAGTCTTCTCCCCACTCCTGGTCCCCCAGACCCCCCTGTCCCAGCCCACAAGCCTGCCCTTTCCTCCACCAAACACAATCTGCTGCTCTGCCCGGCCCACGCCCATCTCCCCCCGACCCCCGCCAGATTATTCCTGTCACCACAATCTGGTGCCATCACTTGTCACCTACTGTCCCCCACAGCCTCCAGGGATAAGCTCCAACTTCTCTCAAGCCCATGGCAACATGTCTCTCCTTTCCTGACACTGTCCTACATCAGAGAAGTGCGTGGTGGGCAGAGAAGGAAGAGAAGCTCCAGGAAAAGGAGGGAGAGAAACAAGGGACAGCAATTTACATCCCCACCCTCCACAAACAGGAACCCCAGACGTGGGAGTAAACCGCCAGCCCTGGGACAGGTGAGGAGGCACTGTGCCATGATTTCACATGCAGTTTCTGACCTGGACACCCTGGGTTCGAATCCTGCCTCTGCCCTTCATGATCATGTGACCCTGGCTGGTGACGTAACCTCTGTGCACCTCTGAATCCTCGCATGTGACACAGGGATGACAGCCGTGCCCCCTCACGAGCTTGTTGCAAAGCATCTGATGAGATGATACTTACAAGAGCGCTTACATCACAGAGGAACACTCACTAAATGGAAGCTTTTCATAAAATGTGTGGAGTGGGCTTTGTTCTCTCCCCATCCCCATCTTATAGCTAGGCTGTAAGGAAAATGGGAAGAGACAGGTTCTAGGTGATTTGCCTAAAGTCAGATGAGCTGATAAAGGTAAAGCTGGGATTGAAACCCTGGAGATGTTTGGCTTCCGAGTTTCACACCGCCGCCCCTGCGGCAGGTACTACCCAGCCTTCATCCCTGCCTATACCCTCTGCCCCAAGGAGCAAATGGGATGCACGCCCACTGCCCCAACAGCCAGAGCCCATCTCAATAGCATTCACAGTCTCCTGACAAACCCGACCACAAGCCCGCTCCCTTCTGCCCCGTGCACTGTCCTTCCTGGTTCGGAGGGGCTCACCATTAAAGCTCGCTCTTTCTGTGACCACTTACACAGGAAGAAAGCCGGCTCTGGCTGGCGAGGGCCATCCCCCAAACCATGGATTTCCTGTGACTTGAGAAAACATTTCGCCCGGCCTGATAAAGTGCTTTCCCAGGGGCAAACGAACCAGCCTCTCCATCTGCAAAGCCGAGTCTACAGGGGGGAAAAAAGGAGAAAAAGCAGAGCAGAAGAGAGACAGCAACAGAGAGTAAAAGGCAGAAGGGCCAGCAGCCACAGACAGGGGCCTCCCACTACCAAGCTGCAGTCCCACAGTTGGCCACAGGGTGTCACCCCAGCCAGCGATTCCTGGAAGGAGGGACAGGAGAGCCATAGACTCCTCCAAAAATCCCTGGATGCCGGTCTTCAAAGCCCCCACCTGGTCAGACAGACCCTGCAGCGCAGAGTTGAGGCGCCAGTTTACAGGGAGTCAGGCCTCGGCTGCCTAGAACCAGGTTGGCAGGAAACACTGGGTTTTTTGGCAGAAGCCTCTATCAGGAGAGGGTCGATGCAATACCAGTCTGTTCTAAAACCTGATAAATCTTGTTGCAACAAAGCCAACAGGATTTGCAAGCAAATTCTGGAACGGGTGCTTGAAACTAGTGGGCTTTTGGAAACATTCTATTGCAGAGGGTGTGTGTGTGTGTGGTTCCAGCTGTTTTGCTGCGTGGGTGACATCACAGGAATGTGGGCATTGCCACGCACTGGCCCCTGGCCCTAGGGGCACTTGGTCATCTGGCTGAGCCCTCCGACCTCCAGAGGAGTCTGAGAACCACCAAGGCTCCTGTCTCCAGCTCTGACCTCCAAACCCTCTCCTGGGCCTTCTCTGTGCCGCTCTGGGCTGCCATAGGACCAAAGCCGCGGCATGGCTCTCACGGAGCGGCCCACTTCCCACCTGGGATGAAAAGTCACCTCTCTCCCTCACAGCACTGCATAGAGGGCGTTCCGCTGCGCCAGCGTCTGTCCAAAAAGCCGACTGCTGGGTGCCTCGGAGGCGTGGATAAAAAGTACCGACGTATAGCAAACTCTGTGTGACTGATGTTCCTAAGGGAGAGAGGACACCTTTCTGGGCTTCTGGGTGGTCAGCAGGATGAACAAGCGAGGTCCTCGTCACCCCACTTTGCTCCAAGAGCTGCAGAGGGATCACGCATTCTCTCATTTCCCTTCTCAAATGCTACAGAGGAAGAAGGCAGTTTTCTGGAACATTCCTCTGAACTAGATGCCATGATAATAAGGACCAAAAAACCAGTCAGGGGAGTCCATGATGGAAATTTAGCTTGAAGACACATACTGTAATGGAATGAATGTCATTTAGACCATGATACTCTGGGGTAAGCAATGGAAAGACTAAAAACCACTCGCGAGGTTCGCAGTCTCCTTCTTGCTCAGGGTAGGAGATGGTGGTCCTCTGACTCTCCTGGCCATGCCGTGGACTGATGGAGCAGGAGGCCGAGGCAGGGTGGGCTTGGTGTAGGAGGAAGGCAAGGAGAGAGCTCTTGGAAAAGACTGGGAGCCCTGGCATTGTAGACGCCTGAAGTAGGGCAAGCATTTAAGGAATGTTGAATGGTTGGTTGGTTGGTTGGTTGGTTGGTTGGATGGATGGGTGGATGGGTGGATGGGTGGATGGGTGGATGGGTAGGCAAATGGATGGAAGGATGGATGGATGGATGGATGGATGGATGGACGGACAGATGGACAAGTCGGGGTAGATGGGTAGTGGCTAGATGGGTGGATGGATGGATAGACAGATGCATGGATGGATGGGCAAGTAGCGGGTAGATGGGTAGTGGATGGAGGAGCAGATGGATGGATGGATAGATGCATGGATAGAACATCTAAACCAGAGAGGAACCCAGAAACATCCTCTCAGATGCTCTTGTTTAAGGTTTGGACGCTGAAGCCAGAGGCCATACAGCACGTTTGTGAAATCTGGCACTCCTGGGGGCCCTGGCCCTCTTTTCCGCCTGCTTCTCCTGACGTTAATCGGGGCTGAGTCACCCCTCGCATACAAGTCATCGTTCTTGCTCCTCAGACACTGAAGACCAAGAAGGGAATGGAAACAGGAAAGAGGACCAGGTATCCCACTCTGCCTGTGGCCCCCTTGCTCTGTTTCTATCCCAGCACCGCCCTCCTCCAGTCCTGAAGCGGAGTCCACGGAACTGCCCTCCTACAAAGATCACTGTCCTTCATGAGCACAGGGCCGGTCCTCACAAGGCACACGAGGTACATCAGATCCCGGCCACTGCGGAGACCCTCTCCAGCCACTCTCCTCCTTCCAGCCATGCAGGTGACTTCCAGCGACTCCTTGCTGCCTCCCAGTGCTATCCTCTCTGCCCCCCTCACCGTGTCCAGGCTATTTACTCTGTCCAAAAGGCCCCTCCCCGTCTCCAGCTAATACTCAGTGCTGGTACCACCTTGCAGAACTTGGTGTATCCAAGCAGGTGTCATCTTGCATTCTCGTTATTTGTTTATGTTACATTCTGTAATGCTATGCTCTAAATTCCATTTCCCCTGGCCTTTCAAGGAAATGATGACTCCACCTGGGCTTTGCGGGGGTCTGCAGTCTGTTTCTACCAGTGCACTGGGTGCTCACCAAGGGTAAGGACCGTGCCTTACTCTTCCTGGTATTTCCAGATCTTAGCATGATGCCTGGAGTAGGGCCAGCATTTAAGGAATGTTGAGTGGTTGGTTGGTTGGTTGGATGGATGGATGGATGAATGGGTTGATGGATGGATGGGTAGGTAAACAGATGGGAGGATGGATGGATGGATGGACGGACAGACAGATGGACAAGTAGGGGGAAGATGGGTAGTGGATGGATGAGTGGATGGATGGGTGGATGGACGGATGGACGGATGGAGAGATGGTTGGGTAGGTGGATGGGTGTATGGGTGGGTAGATGGATGGATAGGTGGCGGTTGGGTAGGGGGATGGTGGGTAGGAAGATGGATGGTTGGATGCATGGATGGTTGAATGGTTGGATATATGGACAGATGGAATAGCGACAGTTGTGCCCTGCAAGTAAACAGAAATAATCCATTTCATTGACAAGGGAGAAGCTTCCAAGCACAAGCGTCAAGAGATCCATGGCCAGCCTGCTCTGCCAAATGAGTTTGTCCAAAGGTAACAGGCACGCCACACCCATGCCCAAGCTAGAAGAAAACAATCTATGTTGGTGGCTTATAGGTGATTCAGGAAGCTTTAAAAAAGGGGCGGGGAGGAAACGTTTCAAGAATTTGCATCGGGAGTTCTTAGGAAAGCAGTCCTGAATCGTGAACTCTGGGACAGTTTCTTCGACACTCATGGAAACTTCCATGCCCCCCTCAGCCCACAGTGCTCAACTCCCGCCATCCTACCTTCAAACACCACAGCCACACAGCCTGGCAGGAGCTCGCCAGACAGGACTGTGACTCATCCAGGGGCCAGAGCTAGATGTGTGCGTGCACCTCGCCCTGGGCCCAAGGGCACGCTTCGTCTCCCGTGGGCGATGGCTGGCATCCTTGTTACTTTTCTATGAGTGTTAAGCCTTGTCTCACCCAAGGCAGGGACCCACCCACTCCTCTCCATCACCCATGCAGCCCTCACAGCGCCAGCCTGGCAGAGGCGACACTCCAGAAAGAGCTTCTGAGTCCTTGACAACAGAGTCCTTGAAGAAGTGGGGAGGAGCCATGACATCTGATCGGGTTTCGACCCCAAGGGCAGACCCTATCTCCTCACGGCTTTAGGGGGCCTCTGCACTTCAAGAAGGAGGGAAGAGACATCACCCCCCACTCCCACCCCCAGACTTTTGTCATGGGACGAACAGCCCTAACACTAGGACTGAGCCTAGAAACGAGACTCCCTCTGACTCAAAAGCAGCTCCACGCTTCTAACCCACCTCGGGACTGGCAGCGGGAGGCAGGCTGGGACAAGCATTCCCAATGCTCTTTAAGAATCTAGCCTTCCAGGGGCGCCTGGGTGGCTTAGTCGGTTAAGCGTCCGACTTTCGCTTGGGTCGTGATCTCGCGGTTCGTGGGTTCGAGCCCCGCGTCGGGCTCTGTGCTGACTGCCAGCTCAGAGCCTGGAGCCTGTTTCAGTCTGTGACTCCCTCTGTCTCTGACCCTCCCCTGCTCACGCTGTCTCTCTCTCTCTCCTAGAAATAAATAAAAACATTTGGAAAAAAAAAAAAAAAGAATCTAGCCTTCCATTTTTAAAGAAAACCAGTCTGTCAAGTTGGTGAAACTTGCCTACCTTCTGTCCTGCAAAACCCCAGTGTCATCCAAAGAAATATAGGGCCACCAACAATGTAGAAGAGCCTCCCTCCCCCCCCTTCCCTCCTGGGGAGGGGAGAGCAGATGGCTGCCAGTAAGATCAATCCTCCGAAGCGGTCCAATGCGGCGACTCCAACCGGCTCCCCGGAATCAAGACTGGGGGACGGAAGATCGGGTGCGACGTGCCAGACTCCCGTGAGAGCACCCTGCCACACACACAGCCCCACCGCCCAGCACCCTGGCGCCATCCAGACAGGGCTACCACCCCAGCACCACCACCTGAGAGGTTTCCTAACTAATTTAAGGAAGTGGAAATCTGGGCAGTTTGTTTTTACAAAGAGCTGCATAAACCAGAGCTGTAAGCCACAAAACAAGGTCTCTTGTATTCACACTCCAGTGAGATTTCTCGAGTGAAAGGGAGAAACGAGAGAGAATCAGAGCCAGCGATCTGGGCGTGACTCACAGCCACTGGGTCTCTCCAGGGACGTGAGGGCCACTTGAGTGCCATCTGACAGCTTGACAGCTAGCACGGATGCCTAGAGACAGGCCTGCTCAGTTACTGTTAGCAGACGGCCCATTGCTTGGGCACTGCCTCTGGGCCAGCCCTTCCCGGCCTGCAACCCATACATCCCTCTCCCAAGGAGGGTAGTTGTGTTGGCCCCATTTTACAGATGAGCAAACTGAGGTTCAAGAAGGATACGCAGCCTGCCCTGCAACGGGACAAGCATGAAGCCAAGTGTGGAGTCTGGAGTCGCCTTGAACACCCAGGCTTTATGCCCATGAGGGGGTCCCGTCAGCTGCAGGACATCCACGTGGAACTGAGCCCCAGGCTTCTGAGCGCCCCTTCCCCTGAGCCTCCCCCACCCCTTTGGGGTGCAGCGGCCAGGTACCTGGAGTAGCAGGAGAGGCCAGTGCTGATGATGGCGTTCAGCACAGCCAAGGGTACGTAGTAGTCGTGGAAGGTGCTGCTCACCATGACGTCGGGGACCGAATAGGCAGAGTATGCAATGGCTGAGCCTGGGGAAGGAAAACCAGCCTTGGGCAGGAAGCCAAGATGCAGCACGGCTTGGACCCCTTGGGAAGGCCAACCCCGGCACCTGGCTGGACCCTCATCATCCCCACAGATCATGAGCGTCCTGCCGCCACCCCTCGCTTGTGCCATGGCCCCTTCCAGAATGTCCTCCCTCCTCCTCCCTGCCTCCCCAAATCTGACCCTGGGAATATACTACGAGCCCAGCATTGCTCCTGGGGCTTGACACACATTGACTCCCATAATCTTCACAATCACCCTGTGACATAAATCCTTCAAGTGTCCTCATTTACAGATGATGAAACAGAGACACAGAGAGATTTAGCAATACACCTGGGGGGCACCCAGCTAGAAAGCAGCAGAGCCAAGCTTCAGCCGGAGCCAAGGCACAGTCCCCACGGTTAACCACATGCTGTGTGGTCCATGAGCACACCTCCGTGTGCTCAGACTTGCTCTGAGTGTGCACCTCTCACCTGCCGGTGACGCGAGGTGTCCCTGTGGGAAGGTGGAAGTGGCAGGGAGGGAGGGCCCTTGCTGAGGGGGGGCGGATCGTATCCGTGCGCTGGGGGACTGGCCAGCTCACAGGCGGGTATGAAAGGCTGGCCTTGGCTTCCTTTGTCTTAGGTCTGGGAGTCTGTGGCAGAAGGATTATCTAAGCACCCTTGGGAGACCTGTCTGCTGCAGCTTCTACTTGAAAGAACAGGAGAGGGGCGCCTGGGTGGCTCAGTCGGTTGAGCGTCCGACTTTCGCTTAGGTCATGATCTTGCGGTTCGTGGGTTTGAGCCCCGCGTCGGGCTCTGTGCTGGCTGCCAGCTCAGAGCCTGGAGCCTGTTTCAGAGTCTGTGACTCCCTCTCTCTGACCCTCCCCTGCTCACGCTGTCTCTCTCTCTCTCTCTCTCTCCTAGAAATAAATAAATAAAATAAATAAATAAAAAATAATAAAAAAAGAAAGAACAGGAGAGATCACTGTCCTTTTCAAAGAAGCCAGGTGTGTCCTTTTCAAAGAGGCCTGGCCCAGATGGCCTCCCAGCCACCCTCACAAGGTCTCCTCTGGGAGGGGAAAAGAGTCACGGACAGGTCAGCACAATGCCTCAGGGATCAGCCCTGAGGTCACCTGTTATCCCAACGATACAGAGACCCGTGAAATCC